TTAGACCTCTTTACTGAAGAATCCGCCAAGGACTACGCACCTGAGACGAGTCCCTGTAACCACCAAAATGACTCAACCAAAACACAGCCAACACAGACCTCAGGACCATCGGTCCAAACAGACAGGAACCTGTACGCAACTAGTGCGAGAGAACGGGAAAAAAAAAAAGGGGCAGGTGGGCGGGAAGCTCGCTTGCCGTGTGGCAAATCCAGACTGAACACGTACTACTCCGCCCCCCTCCAGACCACTAAGGAGGCCCTCCTGCAACTCTTGAAACCGGCCAATCAGGTAAGTGACCCATCCCCCCTTAACACTAACTTAACCCCGTACTTCCAAGTTCCCTGTCCACCCTGTCATGTAGTCCTTCCGCCTATTTTTCTTTTCTTTTGCTCCAGGACTATCTGGACTGCAGATTTAAGGTGAGTAGTACTTGGTGTTAGAACATCTATTTTACAAAATCAGCTACATATTGATGTGTACTGGGGGGGGAAGGGGGTCAGAATTTGTATTTTTGTATCTTACATGTCTAGAGTTCTCCTTTAAGGGCTTATTTCTCTTTATTTTTCATGTGTCAATTCAGCACTTACAGTTTATTGAAGCTTTTGAAGCCATGTTTATAGTTTTAATTGTTTGTGCCTCAGCGGTTTACATTCTTGTTCACCTCGCATTGTTTTGATTATTTTTTTTTGTTTGAATTTCCTATTCTGCTGAGAAGCATTTTCCTCTGGCTCCACGCTGCCCGGCCGGTACCCCCTGAGAATGGCCCGCAGACTGCACATTAAGATGTGTGATGGCTTCCAATTGTTCTGGCTATTTCAGTGCACTTTGGTTCCTCTTTGTTCCTTTGTGGTCGTGTTTAACTCTAGAAAGCTCAGAAGCATTTCCGCATTACTGCTTTGTCTTGCTGTAGTTTTAAAGGAAGGTAGATTGTTCTGTTGAAAAGCTGGGCCTGACTCCTGGTTTCTCCTGCCTAGGTGAGGAAAGTGCACTCATATACAGGTATCCCTAGTAAAGTGTGTGACGTACGCCCGGCCCAAACCCGCTGTACGTCAATCACACGTGACTATACACACGTGTGAACCGGGCGTGGGCGTCGCAAGGACGTGGCGATACCACTCTCAGCCTCACCCTGCGCAGAGATTCCCCAGCTCGCAGGACACAATCTCAGGCCAGCAGACCAGGGTTGGTTAACTTCGCAGTTAACCCTTTACTCACCAAACGTTCGCTGCCACCATGTGTTTTAATGGAAACACAGACCGTGCCCAGCAAGTGCTGTGCCAATATAATGACATATTATATTGACAGGACTCGCTATACATTACAGTCTATGATACCGCTGTCCTCTCAGACAGGAATATGACCGATCACTATACAGTACAGTCTATGATACCGCTGTCCTCTCAGACAGGAATATGACAGGACTCACTATACAGTATGGTCTATGATACCGCTGTCCTCTCAGACATGAATATGACCGATCACTATACAGTACGGTCTATGATACCGCTGTCCTCTCAGACAGGAATATGACCGATCACTATACAGTACGGTCTATGATACCGCTCTCCTCTCAGACAGGAATATGACAGGATTCACTATACAGTAGCACTCTTCACAGAGGCAAGGATACTTTAAGTTCGTATTTAGAGCGTAGAGATAAGCTTAACGATTTTTAAGATTGTCCATTAATAAAAGAAACGGTGCCGAAAATATACAGAAAAATATATTAATAAAAAGAGACAAAATATATATACAACAGTAAAATAAAAGGGAATAAAAGGAGAATACTCAACAGTCCTGGAATTAGAAGTTCTGACAGAGTTCAGAGTTCAATAAGCAAAAGAGAAGTCTGAAGGGCTCTTCTTCAAGCAAGCTTTCAGCAGATGATGTCCAGCGATTTAAGGGGAACTCTTCTGCGATGTTAAGGCTTCTTGATGTTGCTGGAGTTCCTTTCATGATGTTTTAAAACAAGAGCCACCTCTATTGGCTTTGACAGCATATTTGTTTAGCATTCTAGGGGGTGTCACAGAGCCAGCCCCTAGGGCAGGGCTGGGGATGGAAAGCATGGAGGAGGATAATCCTTAATTTTACACTATCCCCGCCCAATTCCACATTATTAATGGAGCTGATTTTTGTAACTCAGGTTGATGACTTTTGGGTGAATGTGGGGTCACCTCTACCAGACCTGCTTGTTTATATTAACTCGTCCACTGGTGACAGATGAATGCCTGGTGACATGCCTTTAATTAGGGACAGCTATAAAAGACTTAGAGGTGATTTGGGACTCTCACTAGGGCTGGGGGGGCAATAAAGATCACAGGCCAGATAAGCAGATCTCTGTTCTGTGGAATGTGGAGGGACCTGGCAAATGACTAAATGAAGGCCTGCATTTGCTGTAAACTGGGGGTCACGAGAGTTCTATTTTTAATCAGACTTGCCCCCATTATCGTCACAGAGTGCAGAGGACATTTATGTGCTGTGATGATTGGCATCCAGTTAGAATCCACCTCTCTTAGATTTGAAACCAATAAGCAGAAAGCTGAAGTTTAAATTTGCACCTATGTTGCATTTCCTGGTTTAATACATTTTTAAATTTAAGCTTCCTGTTTTCATTAGATACTTTGTTTTAGACCCAGTGATGTCCTCTGTGATGTTCCCTTTATCACCAGAACAGGAATGGAGGGGAATTCTTCCAATAGGGATACCTTTCTGTGAGGATTCTCATTCATCCCGGTCATGGTACATCTGTAAGCAGAGGGGTTCCGAGGCCGGGTGTCACCTCAGAACCGGGCATCTTGGTGATGGACGCCGGCAGAGAGAGGAGGGGACGTTCACCCGGCAGGATAAGGTATGCCACCGGGTCCCCTCCTCTCTCCTGCAACTGTTGGGTTCTTGGTCCATGACCTAGTCCCTGACTTTTCCTAGTCCTCGCCGTTTTGCCTTTAGTTACTTTAAAGTAGAACTGAAGCTAAAACCTTTGTTTGTTTTGAATAGCGTAAGGGAGGGTTATAAGCCCTGTCAGATTTTTATTTGCCATCTGTCTCCCATTGGGAGGATTTCCCTTTACTTCCTGTCTGATAGCAACAATAGGAAGGGGGAGAAACTCCCTCCAAAGTGAGGGAAATCTCTGGTGATCAGTAGGGTCATCAGAACTTGTGTCCCCATTGGAAGATTACCTGTTCCTGTTCTGGTGACAAAATTTGGGATTTTCTGTCACTTTCAGTGATAACGGTCAACAGGGCACATAGGGAGGGTGAATAACGGGGACACAGACAGCAAAAAAAACTGAGGTGTTCTAATCCCTTACCACTCCATCCAAAACTCTAAGCTTTGGCTTCAGTTACACCTTAATACTATAACAGAACAAGACAAAGCAGGTTTCCCGTGTAGCTGCATTGTGCCAAAATTAACAATTTAACATGCTCCATTAAAGTTTAGGTAAATCCAAAACTTTATTTACTTTATATTTGCTAGAGTGGGGAAGGGTTAGGACTTCTTTATTGTGGCTTGTGTTCCCATTAGTAGGACACACTCTCTCTAATTGTCCTTGGGTTGAAAGCAAAAAGAAAATCCAAAATTTTGAGTTTCCATCAGACCAACACTAGAGGGGACATTTTCCAATAGCCAGGCGTGCTCTGGTGACAACTGTCTGAAAGGATTTCCCTCACTTTTTGGAGAGATTTCCTATGACATTCTGTTGAGTCAACAGGACATGAAGTGAAGGGAAATGTTCTCAATAGGAGATGGCAAAAATTGAAAGGGAGAAATCTAAACACATAACCTTCTCACTCTTGTGTCTTCATCTTTCTCCCTGAATCTCCTTCTATATATTGTTTTTTTTCTTCTCTCTCTCCTTCACTTATTCATATTGCCTCATTGACCTATTTTAGGCTCTCGGTGATGCTGGAGAACCCATCAAGGCAGAAAGAGCTGTTTCCAAAGTATGAAGCCCTCCAGCGCCAAGCTGGTGCTCTTCTTCAGGAGATGACCGCACTGAGTACCATCCATGACGGGCCCCTTCCGCAGACCTCCAGCTTGGAACATTGCTGTGAGGAGCTTCAGCATTGCTTGTGCCGTGGAACACGGAACTTGCAACTGAGAGACCCGGTAAGTACTTCCCTAACAAAGTCATAACCTTGTCCATGCTGAGATCCTGCCGAGGCCAAATAGCATGTGAGACCCAGCCAAATTTCTTTAAATAAGATCTAAACTGTGACTGGACAACATGAAACCTTCTATTTCTAGCTGCACATTGTAGTGTTTGCTCCACTCTGTTCCTGCAGTGTAAAGTCTGCTGTATCCCACGGAGCTCATTCACCTCAACGCTGCATAGAGATCTGTGTCATTGCAGGACAGGCAGCTCACATGACTTTACAAGTGTTGCTTTTGTTTGGCCACAATAGGGCCACCGGGGCCCATAGTTTCCTAAATCGCATCATAAACAACTGCCATTTTTTTTCATGTATATTAATACCATGTTCTTATTTCATCCTCTTTTGGATCTCAGTGCTGCTCATCTCCTCCAGACTCTTTCAGTCACTTCTTGTCTACATGCACGCACCGTGTTGGCTGTATGCTTGTGCTCTGGGCCAACTACATAGCAGTGACGTTTGGTACCTTTGGTTCCAGGTGAGGCATTCTCCAGCCTCGCCCCCAGCACGCCCCGTCCCCCAGGCCGTCGAAGCCCCGCCCCCCAACCGGGTCCCCAAGCTAGTGTGAGGAAGGGAGGAGATGGGGAGAAGCCTCCCTGTCCCTCACTTGCTTGTCCCTGCTGAGGCATCGAGATTGATGGCCTCAGTGTTTTTTGCTTTTTTGGGGGGGATTGGACAGCTTGGTTTTGTGCACGATTGCTGCGCAGTCAGGAGTCGTCCAGGTGTGAACCTAGCCTTACACTTGCTGTACTTTTTTTTTTTTTTTCTTTCTTTTTGACACTTGTTTTTTATACAAAAAAAGTCAATTATGATTACCCGCATGGTCATGAATGGATGCACAACATCCATTTTGTTATCACCAGGTCATTCAAGGACAGGGTACTCATAGATGGCTTGTGTGTATAAACAAAAGCCATACAGTTTTGATTGTTTCTACACACAAGTCACACATGATGGCTATTAAACTCTTTCATTGAGTTGGTGATCCAAGACTGACCTTATAAACAAAGACAGGTCACAGAGCAATCAAGCCTTTTAACAGTCAGAGCATTTCACCCTACTAGCTCTTAAGTGTCAAGTTTTTTCCTATTATTATTACGTTCGCTTGCAGCGCTGTAATGTGAAACTTATTTTGGTGACATTTTGGGGAACGTAAATATGGTAATCTTGCCATAAACTTAGGTACGGCAAAATCTGCCATTTATCTATAGTCCCGGGTTTCTTATGTTCCTGGTTTCTTTTTGAATATTATTGTAATAACGCAACGCCATCCGAAGGTCATATCAGAACCCACCTATCTTATGGGATCCCAGTCAGGAGTGCTGTGGATTGCACATTGCTGGTTTCTTATTATGGGGACAACATTTGCAAGATAATGCTTCCATAATTATTGACTCTTTTTATGTTTAGCTAGAAATTTTCCATGCCCCTGCCTATGTTTGTGCACGCCCTGTTACATTTTCCATAAAACAAAAAAAATATAAAATAAAAAATCCCACAGGGATGGTGGGAACCTCTCATAACGGGCACAACATGTGTGCAGGCCACCAAATCAGTGCACCCATCTCACCCAGAGAGCCTCCAGAAGATAAACTGTCAAGAAGTGAACGCTCCAACATCTACCAAACACTGAAATATAGTTTTTGGATGAACTGACTCGAAGACAGATTTCGGAGAAAGGGGGGGGGAGGGGGGCTTAGCACCTTTGCCACACAACAAGGAAGTACAAAAGAGAAGCAGAAGTGAAATTTTGTAAACAGGTTTACTATAATATCTTCGCTTCATTCATTAATTCCGCTATCAAAATAGATCTTTGCACATTATTTCTCTGTGTTATCATGTTTATATCATTATTTAGGCTAGAAACCCTTTTAAAGTCCCAATTATGAAAATTAAAAAATAAAAGTTGTCCAATATCGGCTACTTTTTCCCTTTTTAAAAAAAAATATTTATTTATTCACACACAAAACAATTAAATCAATTGAACTAGGCACAAGGCACTTAAATCTGAGAAACATCAAGTTACAAACTTTGGTGTCGATAACCCATAACTTTCAAACCATATGGAGGATTTATTTAAGGATTTATATAGCGCCAACAATTTGCTCAGGGCTTTACAAAGGAGTGGAGACAGTACAGATACAATACAGTTTCAGTACAGGAGGTAGGAGGGCCCTGCTCGTGAGAGCTTACAGTCTAGTAGGAGGGGCAAGTGATACAAAAGGTAATAATTATTTAGTTTGAGTTATTGGAAGATATTAACTGATCGTCTAAAACCAACAAAAGTGTGCAGTATATAAAAGTAACATCTGTTCTGCACGTCTTTTCTACTTTAATTAAAACAAAAAGAAGATAATGATACAACTACACTAAAGAACGAAAGGCTTTTCCTTTTTATTGCAGGTAAATAAATATTAAACATTTATACATATTGTAATATTATTATTATACAGGATTTATATAGCGCCAACAATTTGTGCAGCGCTTTACAATATAAGGAAGACATTACAATCACAATACAAATCAAGACAAGATGGTAAGGACGGCCCTGCCCCTGAGAGCTTACAATCTAAAAGGGAGGGGGAAGCGATATATGATAATAAAAATAACTCCTCACAGGCCTAACTGTAATCATATATAAACCATAACAATTGTAATGTTTATAAATGCTGATAATGCATTTTATTTGAGTCTAAAGTAAGGCAAACCATATAGAAGATATTCTTGTATGTATAGTAGATGGCAAATTTTGTAACTGAGCATTTACATGGCTGCCGTCCAAAGCAAAGTCGTTCTGCTAACCATTAGAGGTCACTGTTTCAAGAATCAAGCCATGCTGTAGTGTTTATTAAAGATAAAGTGTGTTTTCAGAGAGCACCTTTGTAGAGTTATTGTTGCAGTGTTTATGCTGCATTTACTGTTTTTGTGGTATCATGCCCATTACTACAATGCAATGTGTATGTGCATTGGGGTGGATTTGACATTCATTTTCAATAGCACCTCAACACCCATACACAGCTAAACCAAGTGCGCCTGGCTCCCAGTGCAGTACAACATTTGTAGTAAAGAGCACTTGCATTGGCTTGCAGCGCACTGAAAAAAAATAAATATGAATAGACTTTAAAATGTGTTAAAAGAGAGCTATGGCCGAACCCTTTTTGGCCTATAGTTCTCTTTGGGGTCACAAGAGGACATAATGTCCTCCTGTGACTCTAAACTCAGTATATAGTGGGCTATTGCCTGCCATATGCTGACAGCGCAGAGCCGTGCCGGAGCCGGGACGGATCCTGACAATACTGTTGAGATCCACCCTGCTGGCTGATTGACAGCAGGCTCTGCCTATCTAGAGGCAGAGCCAGCGATGCTCACTCCGTCCCCAGTCCATTCCTCCAGTCAGCCCTGGAGTATCAGAGAGGGAAGGGGGGGGAATCCCTGCAGGGAGCGGTGACTGACAGCAAGGAGAAGATTGGGAACTCCGCAATCAGCTGTATGTGTTTGCTGAGTTCCCAATCAATAGAGCCGACCTGTGACCGCTTCAGTGTGACAGGTCAGCTTGAATTATGGGAATGAGTGTTTTTTCACTCACTCCATAATTCTCGTTTTAAATAAAAAAATTAAAAACACTTCCATGTTTTATTTGTAATTTTATATAGATCAAAGGGGATCAAAAGGGATTTGCTTATTACATTTACAGACACTGCTAACTGCTTTGTTGTAAATAGGCGGACTGACCTATAACCATTGACTTCCAGTGTAGCCAATATCTCATGGAGTGTAGCCAATATCTCATGGAGTGTAGCCAATATCTCATGGAGTGTAGCCAATATCTCATATCATGGAATATCTGTGGAGATAAGAATACTTTCAGTTAATTATAACACATATTTATGATTCTTTTCCTGATGTCTTTTGCATATTAAAAAAAAAAAAATGAAAAAAGCTATACATTGCCTTTTAAGATGCCACTCCGTTAGACACACGTTACCACGAGCTTCCCACATGCTTTTTATTTGTGCAGACATGATTTGATCACTCTAAACAGGTATGCTCCACTACTCCAAGGGGATCTGTTTATTTTTTTTAAATTACAGAGCTGATCATCCAGCAAAACGGCATATACATTCGTTCTGGGCAAATGAACCAGCTGTTGTGAGAGTGGAGCAAAATCAAATGTTTTTAGGCGAATTTCTCTTCTGGTCAAATGAAATATTTATGGGCAGTAGTGAACCAAGAAAATACCACATATTGTCCACTAGATGGAGCTGAGAATCATAGGCTATAAATACATCTTAGTAACAAGAGATACAGTGTAAGAATTCTAGAGAATGCTGGAGGGAATTAGCAGATTAATGTAACCATTGCTACTAAGGAAGGAGGGGGCGGCAGAGAGCCTTAGGGCTTGTTCACACCGGTGCATTCCAGAGCAGCAGCTGCTGGAACGCACTGCTATCCCTCACTAAACTTTGCCCTGCGTTTTGGGGCGGGAGGGGGCATGGCGGTGCATTGAATTTAATGGCACTGCTTCCACGCTGCCCTCCCCCATCGCAGTGCGATAGGACGCGTGACGAATCTTTGCCTGCGTTCCGTTCCACTGCAAACGCAAGCCCTATTTTTGGCGTTTGTAGTGGAACGGAACGCAGGCCAAGTTTTGCCACGTGACCGATCGCATTGCGGGCGGCTGGCGGGGGGGGGAGCGGTGCCATTGAATTCAATGTACCGCCACGCCCCCTCCTGCCCTAGAATGCAGGGGGTATTTTTGTGAGCCATTGTGGTGCGTTCCAGCAGCTACCGCTCTGGAACGCAGTGCATTCGGTGTGAACAAGGCCTTAGATGGCACATTTCTCTGGTTTTCAGACTTGATTTTATCTGGTGTTTGTTTTGTCCTTCCACTCCCTCTGAGAGCAGGGACCGCCTGATCAAAAGGGTCTTCTATATATTGACAAATCTGCTCTAAACGTTTTTTCTTTTCTTACCCCTAGACCCTCACCCAGGCCTTTGAAGCTCTCTACTCCGGTGTCGCACAGTTTAATCAGTGTTGTCTGGAATGCCTTCGGGATCTGGAAAAGAAGAAACAGTCCATTCAAACTTCTTATTTAGAGCAGGAGAGGCAATTCTATGTTCTCTTCTACCAGAACTCTACTCTGCTGGCCCAACTGGTGCAGGACATGGAACAGCGGGTGAAGGAGCTACAGACGGACTGAGGAGGACAACCCTAACTCTGGTCCTTAACCAGAGAACTGGCACTTCATGTTAGATTCACTTGTGGTGGTGACTGATTACACCAGCGATGTGCTTTGAAGATTCTTGACACCCCAGTTTGCACTGTAATAAACACAGCATTGGCATATGACTCCATGTTGTTTCATTCATCTGGGTGACCCATCAGTGAAACCAGCCATCTTGTACCAATGTGTCAAGAAATCCAGCCTAACCATTCATAGGAGGTGGTGACATCACTGAAAAGCAATGTGGAGATAAAAGGAAACCTGTCATAAGATCAACACTTGGGCTGCCTCTGCTGGCCTCCTCTGTAGATCCCAGTTTCCTGGATGGTCATGGTTATCCTCCATACTTTGTGTCACTTTCCAGAAACAAGCCGGTGAAGTCAGAATTCTCCATCTGCATACTTGTTCCTAGTAAGTGATGTGGAATAGCAGCCAGAGAACTAGCATTTCCAGAAGTCAAGGCCCCATTTCCCTGATGGAGTTTGATATCATTTTATACAACATGGAATATTATATGAGATATGGAAACACACCAAGGTGGGTGGAAACGTAACCATTGGTTTAGGCAGGAGTCCCCAAGACCCAGAAGAAGGCAGGGGTGACTTGGCCCAACAATACCAGGACAGAGTGGCCATTTCTTTGTTTTTTTTTATGTATTGTCATATTAAGTTACATTTTCTGTGGATAACTTAAACACTCTATTAGGCTAGAAGTGAATTACTAAAGAATACTTATTCCTTTTCTTCCCCTGTGTCCACTACAAATTCCCCGATTTAATTTCATGGCTGATTTCCTGTAAAATTCCCCTTAATCCTGTTGGGGTGTTTGATTTGAACACAGGCCAATGTAAAAACAAACTCCTTTCGTAGAGAGGTCCCTGCAGTTTTTTGAGGAGCTTAATTTCATAAAGATTTGTTGGGACTTTTTGTCCCTCGATCTAGTCAATCTGGTCATCCCTAATCTTCTGATAACATTATAACAATCTGGCGCTATAGGAGGGGTCACGGATCGCCAATCAGTAATGGCGCAGGGTGCTTGTATAGTGCGGCTTGAAAGCTTTCAGCCTGGTCCACTCTCCTCTCATATTTTGGATGTGTGACTGTAATATTTCCCCTTGCTCTTCACTCCCCCCCACCTCCACCAGCCCGGTCGGTTCTCAGGCTCTCCCTATTGTCTGCAGTCAGGAAGTGGATAGGGTGCAGTTTGTCCTACAACGATATAGGATGGGGGGGCACTTCCCTGGCTGTGACCTCACTCATTCTCTGACTGTGTGATGGGGACGGAGCTGTGTGGGGGTGGGAAACGTACAGAGATGCCCGCAAACTTGTGAGCACTCAGGATTAACTACCCAGCTGTGATGGGCACCCAATGGATGTTTTTACTCCTCTTCCCTCTGCCGCTGTGCCAAGGTAAGACCGATGGCTTTGTGTGGGGTCACAGACATTAGGCACTCTTAGCATGGGTCCCTAGAGAAGGGATAACAGGTAAATGACAGTAACCCACAGCAACCAATCAACTTTCAGGAGTAAGATCAGTGGAAGGACCGGTTACTACGGGATACTGCATTTCATCTTGACGCACAAAAAAGGTTCATATGTACCTCTCCTTGCTGTGATAATGCACATAAAAGGTGCAAAGGAAAACAAAAAATGTTAATGGCTCCCTTGCCTTTGGCAACCCGCCACCTGGGTGCCAAATCTGATGGGTGCAGACGACTGCTCCGGGTTTTATTCATCAGCCCAAATGTTGTATAAAATAGCTGCCTATTGGTCACATGCACGGGACATCATTAAATGCTAACTGCTGGACATGCAAAAGCCAACTTTCCCATGTCTGGCTTGAGAAGGCAAAGTGTGGTCACCCATAGCAACCAATCTGTGACTTCATTTCTGGTCATTGAGATCTGACGAAGGATGAGATTTGTTGAATATGGGACACTGAGCTATGTTCATGTTTTGTTTGGGGTTTTTTAAAGAGGATTTTGATTTGAGTTTACAAATATAACAAAGTTACCAAACAAGTAGATCCCACAACAGGAAAAAGGGAGGGAGGGGGGAGATAGCAGACACAGGTACAAAATGTAAAGGTCCCATGGCATCAGTATAAAGGGCATATAACTGATATATAGTGATATGTTTTGCTGTCCCTGTTCTTCAGCAGGTGCACAGTGTCACCTCTCATGTTCACTATACAGTGTATATATATTTTATATCCCTTTCTATCTGTATCTGCAGCTCACCGTTTATATACATCCTGCGACTCTCAATACATCTATCTTTGGTGTATAAGTGCAAAGTATCACTTTTTTTATCTCCTGGTATAATTTCTGTATCATCATCTATAGCCTAATAAATAAAAACCCCTAAAAGCGGGGAGCCAAAGGATGCTCCTCTATGTGGAGTAGAAATGAGGGATCCTTCAGGGTTGCTAAAATGTTCCAATCCTCCAACAATGATGATAAAATTTAGCTGAAAGAAAAGCGTAACAAAAGCCCCTCTAAGAGAAACTTTTGGATCAAAATTAATTTAAGGTAAACACTAGGGGATCTATTTATAAACACGTGGTGGATGGTCCTGCAAATATCAGAAAGTTTGTATTATATCATGGCAAAAATGAAAGGTCTTGGTATACTTTTTCAGGTGGAATGTAATGTGATGTAATACCGCATTATGGCCATTAGATGGAGCTGATGGGCATAGGAAATAAAATATGCTCCTCAGTGCCATCTAGTTGCTATAATGCAGTATTGCACCACAATACATTCCACCTGAAAATAAAATATATTAGGAATATTTGTTTTTTTAACATTATTCATACAAAAGGAATATTCACAGATATTAGCAGGGCCTGTTTATAAATAGACCCCTGTATGCTCACCACCTTGTGTGACGAGAATCACACTAATAGTGCACCACTAATCGGGCTTTAGGAAAGCAATGTTCCCCTTAGCATACCATTTCACAGCATCTCCTACTATAGTTGTAAAACTATCCAGCCATTGATGACAATTATGTTGGAAGATCTTTCATGCGATTTTCTTTCAGCTCTTGATCTATGGAAGGCGTGAGACTTCATCTATAGATGTTAATTTCCTGGTACACAAAGTCGCTAATCACGATCTGTATGTTCTTATTCTATACAAGCAGAGGTGTAGTAGTTCTTCTTTTACTCTATATTCCTATATGGAGTTATAGTGTCACAAATTGCAAGGCTACCAATAGAATTCCAAGGATGTCAGGTGGGCTTGTAGTATGTGGTTGCTTTCTGGCACCACAGTCGCCCAGTAGGCCCATAAGTATGACCGTTGGGCTGGGTTGGATATTTGAGTTCATATCGGTATATGCTCTTTGCTATGAGGGCCCGTGTATACTGTTATGTATTAAACAATGCGCTAACACACTTGCTCCGTTTCCCCCCCACAATAAGTCTCCATTTAAACCTGAGTAGAGCATATTTTGTCAATTTTTGTGTCTGTCTTTCAGCCTTGAGTGTTTTTTGGGTTGTTTTTTTTTTAACCTACAGATAGCTAGTTATTGGGTGAAGGAGACGCATAATTGTGCAAAAAAAGTGTATATTTCATGCACTCATTGAAGTCTATAGGGCCAGAAAAATGTGAGATTCTGCACCCCATGCATGCAATTCTTGCCTGCATGGGGTGCACGGGGGTTTTGTGAACAGTTTTGGGCACCAGTTCACAAAAAGGATGTTGTGGAACTGGAGAAAGTGCAGCGAAGGGCGACCAAACTCATAAGAGGCATGAAGGAGCTCAGCTATGAGGATTGATTAGGGGTTAAAGGGGTTAAAGTGATAGCTTAAAAACCTTGTGACTTTAATATTTCAAATGCAGATGAAATCACTTACAATGGATGTTTACAGGTTATAGCTTCCTGTAGAATGAGCTGGTCCCCTGAGCACTGGTCCTGATATCCTCTTATAGGGTGGCCCCTTTCCCTTGCAGGGTCCTATGGAGCCACCCTTGTGTGTGCTAGTGAGCTGTGTGTGTCTCCACAAACACACAAGCACAGCAAGGCAATCCACTCCTCGGTGCTCTGATTCCTGCTTCTCATTTGTCCCTTCTCCAAGCTGGATAGCTGCTGAAGTCTTCTCTGTCCTTTGTGATCTTGTACTGGACAGGAAGTTCAGGGAAGCGGAGCTGAAAGAGTTGGCGCTGTTCAGAAACATGATGACTGAAAGTGCTTGGACACAAATGTAAAGCAATACTTTGCTGGGCGATGTATATTTGTTTGCTCTGGATTCATTACTGAAAACCATTCAGAATTGTAGGGAGGAGGGTGGAGAGGACAGACGCACAGCGAGGGAATGATGTGTATAGCAGAGCCGGGCAGGATGCAGGTGCAGCGCACTGACTCCGTACAGAAATAGCATCATTATTCCTGAACCTTGACAGAAGGAAGTAATAGTATGGAAGGTGTAGTGAGAGAGGAGGGCAGAGTGCTGCCCCAGACATCTGCACAACCGAGACTGGACCGGAGAAAATAAACCACCCGACTGACACTCGGCATCGATGCCAACATCAGGAAAGACTTCCCCCAGCAGAGACGAGCAACTTTCTGATTCAGTCAGTTCTGGTCTTCCTGGAAGTCCTAAGCCGACTCTAAAAATGTATAACAAAGCAAATGATATAAAATTGTGCTGAATTGTTTGGTACGTCCGGCTTGGTGAGATGTTGGGGTTGTAAAACAACTGTGGGCATCGGCTGTCAGAATACAGCAGCCGTCACAGGGGGATTCCTCCATCCACACTCTTTAGCATGTATAGGGGAATCAAGTGTATCTTATTAATCAGACCGTGGGGCTGAATAAGAGGAATCTTAGGGGCTGATTTATCATGTCTTCGCAAAGCAAATATCTGTACGAATGCCATCCCATTCTGTCACTCTGCTTAATACACCTATTGGCGTGCTCTTTGTCATCTGATTGGTTCTTTGAGCTGCTTCTTCCTCTCACGCTCTAAGCTCTGCTATACAGGGATGGCAAGAGGTTGACACCAAGTAAAATTTAGATTGTATGCCCTCAGGGGCACGACCCTCCTTACCATCTTGTCTTGATTTGTATTGTGATTGTAATGTCTTCCTTATATTGTATAGCGCTGCGCAAACTGTTGATGCTATATAAATCCTGTATAATAATAATAATAATTTGCATTTTAATTAGCAGACATTTACAAACATCAAAGACCTTTATGAACCAATCTGTCAGTAATTTGTTTCTTGGTTCAGCTTTTCTTGTCAAAAGTGTGTTATTTTTAATGTCTGCAGCTATTCCACTAACCTGTGACCTATCCCTAACACTGAGCCCAATGCCTAACCCTCTCCTGCTCTCTAACAAAGATGATAAATCAGTGTTTGGTGGCTGCTGGAGAGTTGAAGTCTATCTCCAGAGAAAACACCAAAATCCCCTTGCAGTGAGGCTGCCCTGGCATCTCTGGGCTGAGTTCCCGGGTCTTCACACATGCCGTGATTATTATAATGAGTTCCCACTCTGCCTTTGGCTTTTACCTATCTTATACTACAGGATGAGCCGGAACACCCAAAGGTGGGAGGGGACACCCAAAGGTGGAAAAAGAAACCCAGGTGGGATGGGACAACCAAAGCTACTAAGTGGACAGTAACAGAGTTGGGAATTATCACAGGCAGATCTTAATAGTGGATCTTAAAAGCATAGTTCCAGCTTTTGAAAAAAAAAATAAACAAACACATCATTAAAAGAAAAAAATTTGCATTCGTTATTTTTTTGCATTGAACCTGCAAGCCACGATCAGTTGATCACAGGTGCAATGCTCAGACTCCTGCAGACTATTCCTCTCAGGGATGGGGAGTAGGAGAATGGATTGCTGTGCATGTGTGTTTGTGGAGACACATGGCTTACTAGCACACACAAGGGTGGCTCCATAGAACCCTGCAATGGAAAGGAGTCAATCTTAAAACAGGATATCAGGACCAGTGCTCAGGGGACCAGCTGATTCTGCAGGAAACTAAAACATCAAGAAGCAGCATCCGTTCTAAGTGATTTCATCAGCATTTGGAATGGTTTGAAAACCTTTTGACTTTATTATCACTTTAACCTTTAATAGTGGAGGATCTAGTACCTCAGGGGACTGACTGAGCCAGTTCTGCCCCACTTATCACTTAAATATCACTCTTGGGTGGCCTGACCCTTTAAGGCATTGTTGCTACTGCTATGAAGATGCGTTGTCTTCTATGACTTAACAAACAAATCTTTCAAAGTGACACAAATCTGTAACACGCAGAAACTTTCTGCAAATATCCGCTCTTAATGCAGAACAAATGTTTGAATGAATGGTCTGTGAGACAAAAGAACAATCCTCTCGCTGTCTCTGATCTCTCTAAAAATATATGTTTGTTTTACAAAGAGGAAATCACATGACTCACGGCGATGGTTTGTACCTAACATGATCTCTGACACCTCCCACCGCTTATCTTTGACTCCGTGGTCGTTCCATTGTGCGGTACAATACTGTTCTCATGCAGGTTTCTCCTTCACATATCTTACGGGGAAGGTTTAGGATATGGAGTCCAGTCTGGAGACATGTAACGTTCCCTATATAATGGATTTCAGACCGGTAGTAGAATGTTCTCACCTTCTACCATAGAAGAGCCGTATTTCTGTTTATTGTGTTCCCACACACAGCAGGAAAACAACAGGAAGAGGGTGACATCTCCACCCCTTTACATTCCTCTGCCGAGTGACTTCTACTCTCTACGTGCATCACCCCACGTCACACATATATATATATATATATACAGTTTATTGGATATAGCTTTAATACAACCAGACTGCTTGCTTTAAAGCAGCTCCGGGCACAAAGGGGGTAGCACCACTGCAAAGGTTAATAAAACTTGTGCCTAGAGTTCTGCTTTAAGTGGACCTTTTGATAACTTTCGGATGAGTTGGATAATTACGAATTAATGTTCGTTGCAAAAAAGTAAAAAATAAACAGGGTTATTCATTAAAGGGTGAAGAGTTTGGAGAAGTCGGGAGAAGTGAACAATCTAGGACAACATAGCTGAACTGGAAAGTGAGCTGGATTGGATAATTTTTCCACATCAGCGATGTTGTCCTAGATTGTTCACTTCTCCTGCCTTCTCCAAACTCTTCACCCTTCTGTGAATAACCCTGCAAATATTTTGAAGAATTCCGCCAGTTACATAAAAAATAAGGAAATAAAACAAATCTTATTCTATCAATCTTGAACAGCAAGTCAAAATCGGCTACAGAATTTCTAGTTATACAGATATAGTAGATATAGGGAAGGACAGTTTTTTTTCTTTCTCCAAACTCTTCACCCTTTTGTGAATAACCCTGTCAGTCTCTCCTGGGTCTCTTTGCCTTTGTAGCCAGGGTTATTTCTGTTGTTAAAGTTGCTTGGAATTGTTTCTGTCCGGTTATGGTCGCAGTTGTTATTTGGGATCATCAACTTAAAAATTAAAGAATTATTTTGCACACAGAAAATAAAGATATTTACCTCGCTGCTAATTATATCTGTACAAAATAAGTCAAGGCAACTGGACTTGCTGTATTTTTGTTGAAGAGGTTTCACTGGTCATCCAACCAGCTTTCTCAATTCTGAATTGAGAAAGCTGGTTGGATGACCAGTGAAACGTCTTCAAGAAAAATACAGCAAGTCCAGTTGCCTTGAATTATTTTTTACAGATATACCATGACCTGGATGAATGAGAACCTTCACACACTCGCTGCTAATTGCTTAGCATTTAAGTTGGAGTCTAAAGTGTTCAGATTTTGGATCTACAATGCAGGAAGTTTAATATTTGGCACAAAGACTAAGCATGTTCCTGGTATCGCCAATAGGATTGTGGGTTCTTTGTCTTGTTTGCAGAGATTTCGTTAAATTGGGCCTAAAGCAAATGTTGAGGGTTGTCCATGCCCTGATCATCTCTGGGGCTTAATCTGGGACTGAGTGCATTTAACTTCAAACACCCAGTTTCTGGTAAGACCTGAACAGAATATTTGTGTGCCTGGTCCAGGGGGTGTAATTTTTGGTAATCTGTTCCTGTTGGCATAGTAGGCCTTTGGTTGATGATAGGGACCCTATTTCTTTGCAGATTACTCTGCCTGATGTATATATTCCTTTTAATACAGTTGTTCTTCTCCCAAAGGCAAGGATTTAGGGTTGTCAGATAACAATTTCTTATAAGTCCTTGTTGTCTGTTTTGCTTTAGTCAGACATTTCAGTTGTGGTGACTCTGTGTAGATCAAAAACTGACCAGGTTCTTGGTATTTCTTTTACTTAATCCTCATATCCAAGGGTCCTTTTGGTCTGTTCAGATGCTTCTCTTTTAGCTAGATTTTAGTTTTATTTTATTATTATTGTCTTAAAAGATTGCATCTATCTAGTTTTCAATATCCTGTTGTTTTAGTATTGGTGTGGCGAAGGAAGCAAGTTAATTGGTTGGAGGAAGTGAAGAGAGTTGGTTGCCGGGATAGCCATAGATTTAGAGTTTATATTTGTCTACGTTTATCAGTTAATTAGCTTTATTTAGGTTTGGATAACTTCTGTTTTGAAGTCTGATGGTGGGGTGTAAGATATATTAGATGGATTAATATTCAAGAATGAGAACTGTCAAATCTATAGTCTATCCTGAATGCTTTGATCAATAATGTAGGGGACAATAACCTGGGTGAGATTAGGATTTTGGAGTTGTCATGTGAAATAAAGAATTATTTGTTTTATTTTAAATCGTTTTTCCCCCAGTCTATTATAGTTTTTTTCAGAAATGGTTCCCAGGCTCCTCCAGTCTATAGTTTATAGGATACACCTGGACAGGCCTAGAAAGCGTCCATAATTTCTGGGTTTTGGTTGGGGGTTTTGCTTATCGGCACTCTGATCCAAAGGATGTTGTTGATTAGAACCAAAGGGTTCTTGTCTTATTAGATTCACTTGTTAGGAATAGGTCTAGATAGTTGTAATTTAGGTCTGTAGAATATAATTGAACAGGTCCCTGTGTATTGAGGGCCTTAACAGGTTGGCTCCAGGGCTGCTTTGCCCGATAGGGCTAGTTATCCAGTCTCGTGTTGAATGGACAAGATTATTTATTTTATTATGGAGTGCTGCTTTATTGTTTGCCCTGCACCTCCACCCTATGACTAGTTACATTTATGGTAAATGTATTGATTGATAATACATTTCTGTTATTTTGAGGTCACCTACAAATAAACATCACTATCTTTGCCGCCACCTATGATGATTAGAGCAATCTGTGTTACTTTGATTTGAAAGCAATAGAAGGCTATTTTAGGCCTTTGAACTGTTAGTCTCTGGTACTGGTCCCTTTGTACTTTATATAATATCAAATATAGAAGAATAGCTGGAATGTTCTACTCTGTATTGTACACAGACAAATCCTGCAGAAAATATGCTGCATTCTCTTCTGAAGTTTTTTCTTTAATAAAAACTTTCCGTTTTGGCTGTCACAAAAGGAAGAAAGCACAGATGTTAAATGTCTTGAACAACACTGAGACAATGGCTATGAACAAGGAACACTGCAATGAAACACAATTCAGCATCTGTTTAGTACATACTCATATGATGAGACAAAATCAAAGTGTCATACTTTTGACTAAGGCACCGCAAAGACCACTTGTACTTTATACATAACACTCATCTCCAGGCAAAAGGGCGGCAGTATGTTTGGAAAAAAAACCTTTCCTGGCTTACCAGGAACATGCCCTACATTCTTCCACGGTTCCTCTTGTGTCTAGAAAACTAGCCATCAACATTGGTGTAACAAGCACCTGGCCCTATGACCAGCCACTGCTGCTCTCTCTGCTCTCTCTGTTCTCTCTGCTCTTGTAGGGCAACAGTCATGCCCACCATAGTCCTAACAAGTTCTGTAAGGTGTGACTAATTTCCAAAGGACAAGACCTAGCCTCTCAGGTTTCTCCTCCATGCAGCATGAGATAGAAGACATTTTGTCAGAGTACTATGACATCACTTCAAGTAAATTTATCTGGCAAGTACCTTGGTCAAGACTGAGCTGATGAGGGGGCTTCTGTTGCATCTCTCGTCCGACACCCATGGAAGTGATGACAAGGAGCATGAGGACACAGAGTGACAGGAGTGCTGGTGTTGCAGGCTGGATTGGATGTGCATACAGGTCAGGCCACAATGGGTAGGCAGAGATCTAGAGAGAAGGCGGGCTGGGTCGACCATGGGTAATCAGGAAAAAGCTGAAGACCACTCAGCAATTTGTGCACATTACATGCCCATTTATAAAGGCCGCTTGGAGTATAGTAATGCACGCTAATTTGTGTGCACCTGTTTGCTAATGTGCACTTGTCTGCAATTCTTTGCACAGGACCATGGGCAATAGCATGTGCAAGTGCTCAAACCTGCAACGGTCTTCTGGAATGCATTGGGCTTTTGCTATAGTGTCAGAAAATATTTCTGGGCATTGTTTATGCATATGGGGGAGGAAACTTTTTATTTAAATTTAAGCTCATGCTGGGGTCCATATTTAAGCTTCCGTTACTGAGCAATCAGGTGTGAGAACTAATGCTAGCACACACCGACGGAGGCAGCATATTGTCTGCTTCATGATCACAACTACTTTTTAACTTTACAGACCACTCAACAAGATAATGCAAAGATGGTTTGAAGAACTATAAAGAGCCTACAGGCTGCTCCCAACTTCTACCAATGTCCCGTAAAGTTCTTTTGATGAATTAGTCACTAATGGTCAGAGGCAGCCAAAAGAGTGGAACAAGATAAGGAGAATGTTATCTTTGGTGCTGCTTCCTCTAACCCTGGTGCCCTAGGTATTGACCCTCAAGCGTCCTTATGGCAAATACACCCCTGGTAATTGTTTACAATTATTGAAGAGCATTTTAGATATCAAGAGTTCTCAGAAAAGTTTGTTAAACCATTTACCTTCTTGTAGGTTTGTATTACGATTATATTCTGTTTTATAATAATAATAATACTCCCCCCGTCCTCAGCTTTACAGTGTGAAAATTCCCAGGATTCGTGCCTTAACGGAGGAACGTGTATGAGGCTCCAGAATGGAACTCACCTCTGCAGGTAACACAATGTCTTTATTCCAAACCTTTATCATATTGGTAATAATAAGCCACATGTCTGTGCCTATCAGGATTGAGATTGCCAGTGCTCTTTATCAGAAGGGGAAGTAAACATTATACCTAAATGAAATTTTAAAAAAGCTATATGTAAAAAAAACTTTTAATATGCACATGCCCCTCTGCCCATCTATACTGAATTGAAGGGAGACCACTGCCTGGAAAATCATCTGCATCCAACACTTTCCGGAGTATCGGATAACCAGTCGCCTTCTGTGGTTCCATCTGCCAACCACTTTGTCTGTTAGGGGCACAGTGTTGACAGAGGATCAATGGATAGAACCATAGGACTCAGCAGAGGACCAATAAAGCCATCAGCCCAGAAGTGATGCAGTAGCTCTTCAATACAGCAAAGACAAAATAGTATATAGGTTTTCTTTTCCATGTGGCTTTTTTGGGAAAATGTGGACTTTAAAGTGACACTAAACTCAGGAGTTAAATCGTAAAAATGAATTCAAGTACCCTAATTATTAACAAAAATGTATCTTATTTGTGTATCACTCGGCTGTAGATCCTCCAATCATCTCTGAATTGGTGCTGACACTGTCCTTCCTTCTGGAGGGTGGCTGCTTTTGTTCCCCATGGTCCCTGTGTGTGTTGTAAAGTAGTCACTGCTCTAAGCTCACTCCTGTGAGGGACTACAATCTCAATACAAATAGATAGCAAAACAAGAGGTTGTAGTCCATCACAGGAGTGAGCTTGGAGCAGTGACTACTTTACAACACACACAGGGACCATGGGGAACAAAAGCCCCCTCCAGAAGGAAGGACAGTGTCACCACCAATCCAGAGATGATTTGAGGATCTACAGCCGAGTGATACACAAATAAGATACATTTTTGTTAATAGATGAGGTACTTGAATCCATTTTTAGGATTTAATGTCTGAGTTTAGTGTCACTTTAGGGAAATGTAAAGTGTTTTTTTGTCAATTTTAATTTGCATTTGTTTTATAGTGTATTTTGTATGTTTTATATCATCATTTTTATTATTTGTACAGAATCATTAGTTTACAATTCAATATTGATACAGTTGCTTTTATGCTTCAGTGTCTGCAGTGCATGCTGGGTTTTCCAGTTAGAAAGCCAAGCACTAGCTCTCCACTTGAAGACTGAAGATGTAGAGCACTCTTTCTACTAGAAGTAGTAGAGTCATTAAATCTTGGTACTAAGTAATCTTAGATCCCGCTATTCTCAGCAGAACAGTAAACAATTTCATGCCAGACTAACAAACTTGCATTTGCTACTTTTGAGTATAAATATAAAATGTGTACAGACAATATTTCATATTTAATTTATTTGTAATAAAAAACATTTGCACCACGCTTGTATTATGCATATTTAGAATTTATGTTCTGTCTCTCAGCTGCCTTGGCGGTTTTCAGGGTGACCGGTGTCAGTTTGCTGACCCTCCATGTTCACCGTTTCTTTGCCACAATGGAGGCACATGTAAACGATTGTCATCCTCAGAGTATCGCTGTACATGTGGCCCTGGATGGACAGGTGAGACATTTCAGTGTGAGATGAGGGTGCTTCCAAATCCTACTGTATGTTCATTATTTATTATGCATTGTATTTATTTATATCGCACTTTATAAAGGACAGAGAACCATTCACATTAATCCCTGTTTCTGTATAGCTCACTATGTAACAAACCTAAAGAAAGATTAGCGCTGTGACGCTGTCCCTCCCATCTAAATTACTTCAAAACTGTAAGGGAAGTATAAAACCCATTAGCACGTTCAACATATATTTGAAGCAATGTTCCTTGTAACAGTAAAACAATCTATTCAAATAAAAAGTCCAAAGTTGCTAAACAGTGCATTGTCCAACATCCACATGAACCCGTATATACTTCAAGTTGTGCCCCACTTCTGTGTAATAAGATAATAAGCTTCACTCTGTCTAATCTCCTCCACCTCAAACCAACTAAACCGATAGACCTGACCTTTACAATATAAAAAGATAAGAAGCTCATGGTGAATCTTCCATCTGCTTGGGAACATCCATCTCCAGCCTTATATATCACCCCTCTTTACGAGAGCACTAAACAATTTCTGTTGATTTTTTATATATCTCCCCTCATAGCTCTCAAATAACTTAATAACATAACACAAAAAGCTTCTTATAGTGTAGAACTGCAGAACCCATATTACAACATAAAAACAATATAACTCAAATGTTCCTTTGCTACGAACTAGCAACAGTAGCAATGGCTTAGCGTGCAGCTGCTCCGCATACAGATAATTAGACCTCCGACCTCACAGACATGACTGTTTCTCCTTGTATGTGCCAAGTCCCACCATCCAACACATTTGGACACTAGTGGACTTTGTCAAGGGAAACCTAAGCACCTGGAGGAAACCCATGCAAACAATAGGGAAAACAGTCAAACCATGTCATAGGGAACAACACTAAGAGCTGAACCCAAGACCCCAGTACTGAAATGTGAAAAGGGGACTGACAGTGTTTCTTCTTGGAAAAGCCAGAGGGACGTGGATTTGGTGGGCCATCACCTTAAAACACAAAGAAAGTACAACTGTGCTTCAGATGTGGGTAGCAAGGTGGTTGAATTGTTAGCACTCTTGTCCTGTAGCTGTGATTGTGCATACTAGTAATAAGGTGTTTGCATGTTCTGACCCAACTAAATGTTCCACCTATGTCTACCATCCTAAAAGAAGCTGGTAGATCCGTAGGTGTCTGATCAAGCTGGCCCGAGATTGTGTTTGAGTGAGGCAGTGACCTTAGTAGTAAGCTCCTTTGGGGTAGTGATAGATGTTAATGATTTTCTGTACTATGTTAAATCACTGAAGAACCTCGTAATAATAAATTATGTTCAGCATATTACGTATCGTGGTACTGATAGTCATTCATGCTCATTTCATAAGTGTTGCTTAACAGGCCACACCCAGGTTCCCAGGTTTCCAGTAATATTACAGAGCTGAGTCATAGTATCCTTATGGTATATTGTATATTGGAGTAAGAACATTGTTCTAGATTCCTGGAAGATCACAATGGCACCTTAAGATTTGTACATTCACAGAATGCCCATAGTTACTTCCTAGTTATGTCCTTCCTCTTTTCCCATCAAAGAAAATTCATTCTGATGAATACATTCCTGCAGTAACAGGTAATACATTATTTGTTTAAGTCCTAAAATATTTAAATTTCAACCCAAGTATTGTTGAAAGCTATTATGTGTGTTTTAATAAATTCCACCCCATCCCTGCCCCTTTGAGTAATAGACCTTTTGATGCCTTAAAGTGAACCTGAGCTTTGCCCAATAATGGCATGCTGACAATTGGGTCCCAATAGCTCCTTGACATTTGGGTTCTTAGACTAGTATGTTCACTGAAACAAAGGTTGGTCATTGCTTATTGTCTCTTCTAGATTATGACATAAGTGAAAACTACTTTTAAGGCAATAATAACTTTATAAAGAAAGTGATACTTAATAGAATTCATATAATTGAATTAGCTTTGTGTAATCAAGGTGATACTGCAAAGGTCATACCGCAATGGAAGAGTTCACATCTAATCCTGCTTTGGTGACAACTCTTGATTTTCCCTTGCTTCCAGTCTTGGTGAGAGTGGTCTCTCAAGACAAACAGAGAAGGTGCAGCTCCCCAGCAGGCACACAGACAGCAATGGGAACCTGACGGGTGTTCTAAACTCTCACTACTTCATCTAAAAATACATTTATAAACCGTTTAATATCAGGTTATCAGACCATGAAGATTTTATATTGCAGAGAAGTTGTTATCTTTATTGTCTCATCCCTCAGGCAAACACTGTGAATTAATCGATCATTGTACCACCAACCGATGCATGAATAAAGGGAAATGTGTCAACAAGGATGTGAACCCTCGTGGGGGTTTTGAATGCCAGTGCCAGCGTGGCTACACTGGAGAGGCTTGTGAGAAGGACGTAGATGAATGCCAGGAAGCTGGCATATGCAAGAATGGTGGGACTTGTAAGAACACCGTAGGATCCTTCTTGTGTGTGTGCCCAGCTATGTACGACGGAATAAACTGTGAAATGAGAAGAGGACGGTGCTCTATACACAGCTGCCTCAATGCCGGGACTTGCCATCAAAGAAACCTCAACTTATACCAGTGTGCATGCCCACCGGGTAAGCGTATCTCCTTCACTTATTAGTATCCTTTTGCCATATCGCCACCACCAAATTTAATTATAAAAACAAAATAGAAGCATCTCATAGAATACAATTTATTTAAATGTAGAACTTGTCTTAAAACTACTTTTACAGGGCTATTCACAAAAGGGTGAAGAGTTTGGAGAAGACAGGAGAAGTGAACAATCTAGGACAACATAGCTGAACTGGAAACATTCTCCAATTCAGCTCACTCTCCAGTTCAGCTATGTTCTCCTAGATTGTTCACTTCTCCTGCCTTCTCCAAACTCTTCACCCTTTTGTGAATAACTCCATCAGTGTTTTGATTCCATGTCTTCAGGTTATCTTTTATAGTTCTACTGATATACTCAAGAAAAACAGCCAAATATATAGCTGATGATACTTATATTTTAATGGAGGACAATATAAGAGGAATATGAAGGCCCCAAAACTTTAAAACCCAACTGTCCCCCAGTGCCCTCTGTTCCACAGCAGAGGGCCCTACAGGACCATTGGGTTAAAAATAAGTGTAAGATTCCTTTAGGGCTATAACAATGTTGGTGTTATATAGTGACATGAAGGTAGTTTTTTTGGCAAAGGTTTGGTAGCCGGTACAAGGCTATGTTGTCATTTTGATAATGGTCTGTGTTATACTTTAGGCTACACTGGATCTGATTGTGAGGAGAACATTGATGACTGCATTAACCACAAATGTAAAAATGGAGGGAGCTGCATAGACGGACTTGAAAAATACACATGTAAATGTCCTCCTGGATGGGAAGGTGAGCCCAGAGCCCCAGTCACTTCTGCTTTCATTTATATATTCTTTGTCTTAAGATCTTTTGTTTACCTACCTGTTTCCTTGTCTGGGTACAGTGGTAGAAGAGGTCCAAATACATGTAATATGTATCATCAGTTAACTTTCTGCATACATCTTTAGATAACCTGCTTTGAACATGAACTTATAGAGGCAGTTTTTTGGGCGCTAAAACTCAGTGTATTGTATCTCTATGAAGGCTCTCATTTATTGAGGTCATGGTATAGCTAATATTAGCTTATCACATTCAACTGGACTTGTTCTGTAATGCTGAAAGCAGAATAAGTCAAGCTGAAAGTGACTAACTACTACTAGCTCAATGCATTGTATCTACACAATATGGCCAAAAGTCTGTGGGTGCTTGACCATCACACCCAGAGGCGGCTCTCTAATTAGGCAAGTTAGGCGGTCGCCTTAGGCCTCGCACTCACGAGGGCCTCGCGGCCACCTAACTCGCCTCCACTACAGCTCCATTTCACTTGACTCAGCAGAGGGCAGAGGGAGCAGCGATTTCCTCACGGGAAGAATGGGGCTCCGGCAATTCCCCCCGCAGCCTCCGTACCGCACCGACACCCCCCCCCCGGATCTGTCACTTGCAGTGTAGTAAGAGAATCCGCACGGCGAGTCCTTCGTCGCGGTTTCTCCTGCTAGTGCTGATTGGAAGTGAGGCGGCAGCACAGGGAGCAGAGCCGCATAAGCCGATGTTTACTCTATAGCGCCAACTCCTGTCACAGGTGGAGTGATACCAAATGCACTCCGCCTGTGAGGAATCTATAGTGAAAGTGTGTTTCACTTTTTCTGGTTACCAAATTGCTCTTGGAAAGGTACCCCTGATTGCCCTGATCACCCTATTCTTAACTTTGCCATTTTGAATTATTTCATTTGGATTTGCATTAACTTTGGATTGTTATACATTAAAAAAATATAAAAAAATAAGACCTACCCCGAAAATAAGACCTAGTGTGTTTTTGTGAGCCAAAAAAAATATAAGACAGTGTCTTATTTTCGGGGAAACACGGTAGCATTTTCTTTGAGTATGGGTGTAAGTGGGGGCCTCACTTTTGAGTTTTGCCTAAGGCCTCACAAAGTCTAGAGCCGCCTCTGATCACACCTATGTAAAATTGTTTGACATCCCAAGGATGCTGGGGTCCACATGTTACAACATATTACAACAACTCTCCTGGCTTTTCCCTATATTTTATAACATTTATTTGTCTCTTCTTCTCCACTAGGAGGACTTTGTTCCAAAGACATTGATGAATGTCAGACTCCTGGCATATGTAGAAATGGCGGTACTTGTCAGAACACATACGGAGGATACAAATGTGTATGCGTTAATGGATGGGATGGTGACAACTGTGAACACAACATTGATGACTGTGCAACAGCCACTTGTGCTGAGGGGTCTACCTGCATCGACCAAGTGGGGACGTATATCTGCCAGTGCCCCCCAGGAAGGATTGGTAAATGCCTAAAACTTATCTGGATGGCTACATCTAAAAACATGGAAGAGTTGGGCAAATGCAGTAGCAGCAGCACAGTCAGATGGAGTTGACATATTAAACATTATGAAGGCAGGCTGCCATTGATGATCTCTTCTTCTATAAAATGCTTATTTTCTGGCTGTCATGGCAACTTATCAGCTTTAGTAGGAAGAAGCATAGAAATCACAAGTTCTGACTTTACTTTGATACCCTGGATTTGCAGGATTTGCATGTTTGTTCTCATCAGTGACCCAAAAAGAAAAAATGACTGCCAAACAATTAGCATGCTGTTAGGAGTTCAGCAATGACAGTCTCCATAATTCTCTAATTATATGTTTCTTTAAAGTGGAACTCTAGATTAACATCTCCCCTGGTTCAAACATTGCCAGGCGTGTGAGGCCCCTGCAGTCTTGTCTACCAGCATGTTTGTCCCAGGTCAGAGACTTTCTTGGAAATTAAGAAAAAGAGATGACAGCCACTGAGTTTGTACTTTTAAAAACAATTCAGCAGTGGTAGCTCCCATAATTGTATCCCCATAGGTTCCCTTTTCACTTTTACACAGAGGTATAATGGCTTGCTATACGGTCCAGCACTTTATACACTTTTTTAACAGTTGAGTACCCACATTACATAACTGTGCATGTTTCCTCTATGCCAGGTCTTCTGTGCCACATGGAGGACGGATGTAAAAAAAATCAATGTCACCCAGAAGCCACTTGTGATACTGATCCCTCGTCCCACAGGATCTTTTGCCGTTGCCAGCCGGGCTATACCGGACCCACTTGTTATGAAGACCTGGATGAATGCCAGTTAGGTGAGTGTTCAGCAGCTATATGAAGTCATTTTTCAGAAAAAGATGTTGGTGAGCTGGAGTGAGTGCAGAGAATAGCAACTAAAGGTCATGGTGGACCTCAACTATTAGAAAAGATCAACTGAATTGAAATTATTGTTTTTTTAGGAGAGGTACTTAAGGGGGAAATGATCACCATGTATAAAAACATAAATGCTCCATGTAGTGAACTTGATGCAAAGGTGTTCCCTTTAAGCCTTTTGAAATGGAGGCCTTCTTTGTGCTCGGAGGAAAACAAGTTTAACCTCCACATAAAGAAAATGCTTTTTTGAAGTAACCACTAGGAAATGTGCTTAAAAAATAGGCTGGGCATGTTTCTAAAGGCACAAAATATGGCTGGCTATTAATATTTATAAGGAATAACACTGTAGAGTGTTGATCCAGCATGTATCCAGTTGCCTTAGGGGATTAAGAAATAATTTTGTTCCCTGTTAGAGCAAATTGGAGCCTGCCTAATAAGGGTTCTTTCAAACCGAATTACAGTTTGATCTGTGGAGTATCTAATTGCCTTAAAGGTTTAGGAACAAATACCTTTCCCTATTACTCTGCTAGATTGTATTGGGCCCTCCTAGCCTGTCCAGGGTATACACCGACCCACCAGGGGCCACCAATTAATTGACTTCCACACAGTTGATGTTTTGCTTGCAGAGAATTTACTCAGCAACTTTTTTTTAGGGATTAAGGGTGAGGGCACAGGACATCCCTAAAGTCACAGCAGACTCCATTTATGGAGAAGATAAAAAAATGAAACCTTTATTCTTACCTCTCACAAGTAAAGAACCTTCAAGCCAACTCAGTATCCTGTGAGTATAAGCATCTGGCTATAAAATATTCGGGGTAACAGTTATATCTCTAGTGGAACACCACACTTCAAGCAAGGTCCACTTATTTCTTCACGGCGCAGCTTGCGCTATTTCCACTGGGAGAACCACATCCAGCAGGGCAGTGTAAAGCTAGGCCCAAGCTCTTGCCTAGTCTCCTGAGCACATGGTGGCCCTGCCCAGGCAGCAGGAATATGTGAATGAGACATCCAGAATTAACCATCCCTCAGGCAGGAGGCTTGGCGGATGACCAACTGTGATTGGGCATGTAGTCACTGGAAAGTGTTTCCTGCTTGCAAAGCTAAAGTCTGATGCTATTTCTGTGCAAGAATGTATTTCACTGTAGACAAATCACGCCTCTTCTGCAAAGTCCCAAAACTGTATAAAAACGATGTATTCACTAAAAATAAACTGAATTCTGTATTCATGATACTTTGATGTCTGAATGCATTATTCCCGAAGCTTCGGGGCTAACTAAGGATACAGGAACGGGCCGGCATAAGAATAGAACAGCTTACAGGAAGAGAGTTTACAGCAGGTTCTCCCACATATTTATACCCTTTCCCAGCATGCACCACTGGCAATAAACCTGCCAGTGGTTGGCCAGGAGGCATCCTCAGCAGACAGGAGCAACCTCTACCAAGATGAATGCCTCTACACAGAGACACAACGCAGAACAAGGCATGGTAAGTCAATAATGGGGGTAAAACTCAGCTGCAAGGAGATCATGGACGCCATCGGTGACTAATCCTTTACAACCTGCTTGTCTTTTTTGGGGGGAACAGCTTCCAGGATAATTTCCTCTTTAAATGATACTTTAGTGCATTATCATCGAAAGCTCATTTTGACACTGGATGTGGCTTTCACATTTTATAGTTCTTGATGTTATTTTTTAGACAATTCGCCAATTTCTAATGTCGCTAAGATGTCTCTTTTATCTCAGGTCCTTCCCCCTGTGAACACGGTGGAGAATGTGTAAATACTGAGGGCGCCTTCCTGTGTCGCTGCCCCCTCGGATATACGGGCACCCGCTGCGAGACAGTCCAGAATGAGTGCAACTCCAATCCCTGCCTCAACGGAGCCTCATGCTTTGACTTCCTGGGTCACTTTGAGTGTGTGTGCGCTCCAGGTAAGGAGGTTTACATGACATACGTTCTAAAGATGCACCAGAGTCATACACAACTCCTACTTGTTATTTGATTCACACAAGTTGTATTAGAAACAGAAAAGTGCTTTACAGATTTAATATAATGCGGGTAATAAATAACTCTAAGTGTTAAAATTATTAATTACTTGGTCTGTAAACAAATACTGTATCTGGCGCTAGGTGCTCTTTAAAAGAGGATATTGTCTGGCTTGCTTGTGGCAGCCAAAGAACAGTTCACATGCTGTCTCCCCATCTAATGACTCCGGCATTACTAACATTGTATCTCTGCCAGCAGCAAGGACGTCAGGAAATAATGTTTTGTCATTGGCAGGTAAAGAAGATTACATAAACAATGATCCAAAAGTATAAGTGCACCTTTGTGATATAAACATAGACTGGCGACAGAAAAAGACCAAGGGGTCTGTGGAGTTTGACCTTTTTTTAACATCTTTGAGGACAGACCTGTGATTTTCCCATGTTTATGTTCATTTACTGTTAACGTGACACTAAACTCAAGGGTTAAACCTTAAAAATTGCATTCAAGTATCTTAAAGATTACCAAAAATGTATCTTATTTGCGTATGACTCGGCTGTAGATCTCTGAGTGGGTGGTGCTGACACTGTCCTTCCTTCTGGAGGGGGCTACTTTTCTTCCCCATGGTCCCTGTGTGTGTTGTAATGTAGTCACCGCTCCAAGCTCACCGCTCCGTGATGGACTCCAATCTCCATATAAATTAGTAAACTAAATGTGAGATTGTAGTCCATCACAGGAGCGAGCTTGGAGTGGTGACTACTTACAACACACACAGGGACCATGGGGAACAAAAGTAGCCCCCCTCCAGAAGGAAGGACAGTGTCAGCACCAATTCAGAGATGATTGGAGGCTCTACAGCCGAGTGATACGCAAATATGTTAAATTTTTATTAATAGTTAGGGGACTTGAATGTATTTTTAAAGTTTAAACTTGAGTTTACTTTAAAGTAGAACTGAAGCCAACATTTTTTTTAAAGTTTTGGATAGAGTATGAACCTCTGTCAGATTTTTTTGCCATCTGTGCCTCATTGGGGAGATTTCCCTTCACTTCCAGTTCGATCGCCACAACAGGAAGTGAGACGAAATGCCTCCAAAGTTTAAAGGAGAACTATGAGGTGAGTGATTTTCACTCAGCCTCATAATCTGAGCCGAACTGTGACAATGAAACTGTCACAGGTCGGCTCAGTAGATCGGGAAGTGAGCGAACACATACCGTCGCTCGCTCACTTCTCGATCTATCCCTGCAGAGTGCTGTGACTGTCACTCACGGCTCCCTGCAGGGATTCCCCCCCTCCCCTGTCCGATCCTCCAGTGCTGACTGGCGAAACGGACGGGGGAGGGGGCAGGCACAGCTGGCTCTGCCTCTAGATAAGCAGAGACAGCTGTCAATCCCACAGCTGGGTGGATCCAGACAGTATTGTTGGGGATCTGTCCCGGCTGCGGCGTCTGTAGCTCGCGGTATACTGAGCTTTGGGTCACGGAAGAACGCTAGTTTGTGTTCTCCCGTGACCCTTAGGAGAACTATGGTGAAAAGCCCTAACCCCATAGTTCTCCTTTAATTGTTATATCTGCGAAGTTGCTTTAGCTGTCTGGATATGTGTGATGGGTGATGTGTGCTCAGGTGCAATTATCTTTTAAACATGTTGCTTCACTGAAATAGCTGTAGAAAGAATACAAACCTAGGTAATATTTTGGGGTTGTGAATGAACAACTTCTTTAAATATATCATAGATAAATGTTTTCATTGTTCTCTTCTCCAGGATTTGAGGGAATTCTCTGTAATCAGGAAGTAAGCAAGTGTTCAAGTTCTCCCTGTGTAAACGGAGGAAACTGCACTGATCTGTTAAATGATTTTCATTGTTCCTGTCCCCCTGGTGAGTACTCCATCAATTCATTCTTAAAGTCCAAACGAACTTTCATTTTATTCTCAGAGTGGAAGCAGTAGTTTCTCTGCAGAGGTGGAACACACCAAAGCTCTCCGATTAGCAAATCTCATTCTCTTCGCTGATTGGAGAGTTGTAGCTCCGATGCAGCAGGGAATGTGACCACTGCTTCAACACAAAGGCCAGTGTTGGTATTTGGTAGATGTAGATATCAGCTTCAGTTTAGCCCCATGCATCATAATAAGTGAATTATGTATACCAGTACACCTGCAATAAACTAGATAGCAATTCTAGTGTAGCGCCCCCCTGAGCTCCAGAGGCCTGAGATGGACCCTAAAGGGTAGGGAGGACCAACATTTCACTCTCCTTAGCCAGAGAAGAGACATGTGATCGAAAAAATTGGGCTCCAGTCACTTGAAGTGCCTTTTTAAATGATTTACTACAGAACATCAAACAGAGACAGGGTATAGGGTTTCACACATCCATAGAAAAAATAGAACAGACTCACCAATCCCTTCAGATTCACCAGTGCAGAAATAATAAGAGAACAGGCTGGCACTGGGCAATAGAGCAACAGCTGAATTGGGAAGAGCATTGAAATCTTCCATAGGGTGAGACACCAGACTTGTTCCTGAGGTCCATAACAGCTCCTGGTACCTCCATTAGTCATAAGGCTCTTCTGGTTTTCCTCCCCAGATAGTTCCAGAACCCTCCTGGGTCCATGCTTGGCCTCCTCCAGGCTTGAGTCCTAGTCAGGTTCTCCAACCTTGTACATGCCACCCCCATGCCAAGCATGGCAGCGGACTGAACCCCAGCACATGGCAATCCCTGAGTATTTCTGCACTCCGCCAGCATGCACCACTGACCATGAAACTCCCAGTGATTGGCTGGTGAGGCAAAGACACTTCTGAAATTCCCCTATTGGCTGCCCCACTCTGTAGCAGGGTCACACCCCACTCAGGGAGGTACAATCAATAGGTGAACACCTGGAATTAACCAGATAATAACCGACTATAAATCGGCTAGACTGATTACAGTGCTAGCAATACTAAATTTCTAGTAGCCACTCCAGTAAAGGTGGCAGGAGCTTCACTGGTAACAATGGATTAAAGGTATCCAAGTGGCTGACGGAGATCCGGGTGAAATGGAGTCTAGAAAAACTAAATGTAAACAAACTTCTAGAACCAGATGAGTTACATCCACGAGTCCTCAAAGAACTTAGCTAGGTTATAACCAGACCACTGTTCCTAATCTTTACGGACACTTAACATCAGGAATGGTACCGGCTGATTAGTGGAAAAGGAATATTGTACCGGCATTCAAAAAAAGGGACAAGAAGTACACCTGGTAACTATAGGCCAGTCAGCTTAACATCAGCAGTATGTCAAATATTGTAGGGTATTATAAGGGACTATATTCAAAAATGTATGTTGTGTCCTCATGTCATCTTCAGAGTTCTTAGTCTAATCAGAATGGTCCTTCATGAATCCATGCTGGTTGTTACTTATGATAATAAGTAACAACCAGCATAACAATAAGTAACAACCAGCAAGGATTCATGATGGACTGTTCTAATCTGTTTAGACTAAGAACTCTGAAGATGACATGAGGACACAACATAAGGTTGGACGACAGTTTAACATGCACTACACAAGGGGTATTTTACTGTGAGAGCAGTACAGATGTAGAATTCCCTTCCATACATAGTGGTGTCCACTGATAGCATAGATAAATTCAAGAGACTCTTAGATGATTTTTTCAAGTCACTGAATATACGAGGAAATGGGAGATATTAGAGACAGGTATACACACACACACAGACACACACACGCACATAGGTTGAACTGGATGGTCCTGTGTCTTTATTTAACCTTGCCTACTACTATGTTTCTATGTTACTACTGCTATGTTCCACCTTCTCATTAATGTCATCTTTTACTTCTTTCCTCCTCAGGTTTTCAGGGCCCAAGATGTGAAACCGACATTGACGAATGTGCCAGTTCACCGTGCCACCACTCTGGCCTCTGTATAGATCACCTTGGTTTCTTTACCTGTGAATGCTTGAGTGGATTCACAGGGCAGCTGTGTGAGGAAGACATTAACGAGTGTGACAGTCAACCATGCCATAATGGCGCCACCTGCCTGGACCAACACAATGGCTTCCAGTGTTTGTGTGAGCCTGGGATCACAGGTAATCTGAAATGGCCTGCTGATGACTATGTTAAAGTGTATTATAGGCTTTTTTTGATTTGCTTAGAGCATTTATTTTCTGTCTGTTATCCATTGGGGAAGATTTCACTTTCACTTCTTGTACAGGAGACCCAACGGAAACAAAGTTAGTGGGATTTCCCCTCTTTGGCAGTTGTCACCAAAATAGGAAGCCTCAGTGGAAGATTCCCCTGCACCTCCTGTTCTGGTGACATCTGTAGAATTTTGAGTTTCCCATCACTTTCTTCACCATTAATTTACACCCAAGTATAAAGTTTAATCTAACGGCCAATTGAGCTGTCAGTTTAAATGGGCTAAATACTAGGGATGCAACGATACCAATACTAATATCAATATTGGTACCAATGCTGAGTATTTGGGCGAGTACTCATACTCGCCCAGATACGCTGATCCCTAGCCCGATACTTGAGCTTCTGGGATCAGGAAGCCGGGCAGCGAGTCATCACACGCTGCCCAGCTGCCTTCCCTTCCCACTTGTGATGAGGGAGCAAGGAGCCGGCTTCCCGGTCAATGAGGAAGCCGGGCAGCGTGTAATGCCTCGTTTTATTATGTGGCGCCTGGCTTTCTGATTTGCCGGGAAGCTGGCTTCATCTCCTTTGTCACCTGGTGATGAAGGAGCATGGAGCCGGCTTCCCGGGCCAATCAGGAAGCGGGGCGCTGCGTCATTACATGGCGCCCGGCTTCTTGATTTGCCAGAATGCCGGCTCCATGCTTTCCCGTCACCTAGTGACAAGAAGCATGGAGACGGCTTCCCTCCTAATCGGGAAGCCGGGGGGGCAAAGTCTTTACATGTCGCCCGGCTTCCCTGCTAATCAGGAAGCCAGGTGGTGATTCATTACACGCCACCTGGCTTCCTTAATGTGACTTCTGGTATCGGTGAGTACCAAAAAAAGAATATCGGTACTCGATACCTAAAAACCGGTATTGGTGCATCCCTACTATATACATTCAGGTGCATCAAAACAAAACGTGTGCAATGTCTTACAGTTAATTTTCATTCTGAAGCAGCCACAGCCTGAGTAGAAAAGCCTTTCTCCCTCCACAAGCAGGTGCAGAGTGGGACCCTTGCTGTTTGAGAGGAAGCAGTGATGTCTCTGACAGAGTCGGTGAGAGAGGGCTCTCCAGTCAGTAGGGATTGTGAACTTTGCTGATTAGAAAGCTATATGGGGGGGGGTAGGGGGCAGGCTTTTCTACTCAGGCTGTGACTGTTTAAAAAAAAAAATAAACCTAAAGACATTGAACACCTTCTGTTTTGATGCCCCTGGAATGTATACAGCTGAATTAAATCAAGGGTTTGATGGGGCTTTAAAATTAAACTGCAATTTATGGGCTCTGTAATTATTTTCTTTTCTGTTGAGAAGGCAACAGGGTTGCTTCATTAAAGAAGTTAAGATTCTTCACTCAGTAAATTGTAACTGTGTTCACTTTGAATACCCAATTATATACAGGTGAAATTAACAAACAGGAATATGCTTATAATATTATAGAATAATTAAAGTATATATTCTCTTAATTTATTTTGTGAAGATTCTTGACTCCTTTAATAAATCAGCCTCAATGTGTCAGCTGCCTAAGTGGCCTTTGGTTTAGAAGATATAAGATTATACATTGTTTTTTCTGTTTTATAAAATTGTTACAGTATTACATTCCATTGTTCCTGCAGGTACCACATGTGACATGAATATTAATGAATGTAGCAGTGACCCATGCCTTAACGGACATTGTGTTGACCTGGTGAATTCATTTATGTGTCTTTGTGATCCCGGGTATTCAGGTAACGCTATCTGTAAAAATAGCAATGTATACATATGACTTTATAAATTACATATGTTATTACATATATATACTGTATATAATGTTTCATATTTTCTAATAAATCTACTATAATTGTTAATAGTGTAATTGTATCTGTCAGTTGCACTATTAAATTTGTGGCACTGCAAATGATCACTACAGCCTGAAGGTGGCAGTGTTTATCTGCAGACTGAAGGCTTTCATTTTTGTTAATAAAGAATCTAGCCTGCATGTGATCACTATGACCGTGAAATGACCCAAACTGGTTCCTGATTGTTAATGGGGAGCCTGACTGTCACAGCAGGGTTTGAGAGCCAGCAACTGCAGAGATAATGTGTCCTTGGCATACCACATTGTGCCAGGGAATGTTAACAGATTGCACGCAGGAAGTGCTTACTCTGGTAGCAAGTGTAACAGCAATGGATTCAATTTTCACTTGGTTTGGCACTGAAAGCCCCTTGCCAAGAACTACCAGCACTGTTTTTCCAACACTGAAATCAGAACAATGACCAGAGATCTGATTGATTTTTGGTTACATCACTCCACATTTTTTTTTCACTATCCAAGCCCAATCGTGGACGGGCCTTGACCAATCTGTGTTTCTGAGCTGCCATATGGTAGTAGCACGCTTTGAAAAGTTCGTCATACTTCTGTTCTCAATTAATTACATTTTTGTTTTCAGGCAGTCATTGTGAAGTAGACATTGATCAGTGCAGGTCCAGGCCATGCCAGAATGGAGGCATCTGCCAAGATGTGGATGATGGTTTTCAGTGTTCCTGCCCTCCAGGAACAGCCCTTCCCCTGTGTACCTTGGAGAATACCACCTTTGCCAATACAACGTGCCTTCATGGCAGCAATGAAACACAGAACAACAGGTGGGAACAGCAAGTTATAAGATCAAATGAAGGATTCAATGTGGACCAGGGCTGTTTCATAACTTTTTCCACTAACATTTCTATTTCTGGCTACAGGCCCAACAATGAGGGAAAATGATTTTGTCGTGCAAATATGTAATCTAAAAACAAAAAAATAAATAGATAAATAATACACTAATATGTAACAGGGTAAGAGACCTAAGACATATAATGAGGGGCCCCTACAATTTGTGATGGTGGCCCTGTTTTGGTGGCTCTGTTTCTGTTTGCAGCATAAATGAACAGAGAGAAATAGTGTTGTACTGCCCAATAAACCTACCAGAGGTATCCACTGGTGAACCTTGACCCTACGTGAACCCCTAACACATGTAAAGTATTAAAAAATTGTTTTAATTATTATTTTTTCTAAACTCACCGCCGAAAATCTAATGCAATCATTATATGGATATTGTGTATTATGGTGTAAACTGTCAACATGAACTATTTTTTTTACCCTATAGCAGGGTAGCCAAACTCCGGCCCACTAGCTGTGGTGAAACAACAAGTCCTATTAGACATTGCAAGACTCTGACAACAACAGGCATGATGTAGTCTTACCACAGCTGGAGGGCCCAAGTTTGGCTTTCACTGTCCTTCAGTATAGATAATCTACTGGACCCACTATACATAGGAGGTATGCTAGGGTTTTACTTTAGAGGTGGTAATAGTGAGATTGCCTGGAATAAACCAAACTGTGCATATCAGATGAACAATAATTAATTTGGAGGTTTGCTTCCAAAGAATGAAATTCCTCCATTATGATGAGCTGGAATCTGTTCTCAATACCGTCCTGTTTCTCTTCTCGTGCAGTTCTCAGTGCGTCTGTGACATAGGGTGGACAGGGTCATCTTGTGAAACCCCTATTGATGAATGTGCCAGTGTTTATTGTGAGAACGGGGGAACATGTCATCCTCACCAGGGTGGATATAACTGCTCGTGCCCAGCAGGACACACAGGTAACCAAATATGATAATTTATTTATTGTCAGATCAGCAGACTGGTAACCTTATGACAGCTTACTGCAGCCTTTCTCAACCAAGCTTTCATGAAGCCCTAGGGTTCCCCTGAGGTTGCTAGGAGTTCCTTGAGCAGTGAGCAGTGGCAAATTGATTTTCTACCTACACTGACCACCAATACATGGGGAAATCGTACACTGATTACCAATATAAGGAGTCATTTCTACACTGACCATATGTTAGGGGTGCCACCATTTTTACTGTCCGCATTTATTTTCATCAAACTATTTTTCTATTATTTTCAAGATTATTCATGGAAATAAATGTATCATGTACAGAAACCGGTTTTAGGAAATGATCCGCCCTGGGTGTCAAATACTCTAGGTAGACCACATTCTATATTTGTACTTACAGGAGAACTATGTGGTGAGTGATTTTCACTCAACCTCACTAAACCTCATAGTTCAAGCTGACGTGTGACAATACAGATGTCACACGTCGGCTCAATCGATCCAGAAGTGAGCGAACACATGCGGTCGCTCGCTCACTTCTCGATCATGTCCCTGCAGAGAGCCGTGACTGTCACTCATGGCTCCCTGCGGGGATTCCCCCCTCCGATCCTCCAGCGCTGACTGGCGGAACATACGGGGGAGGAGGCGGATACAGCTGGCTCTGCCTCTAGATAGGCAGAGCCAGCTGTCAATCACGCAGCTGTGTGGGTCTCGACCATAATGTCGGGATCCGTCCCAGCTGCGGCGGTCTCAGTATACCGCTCGCGATAGCTCGCGATATACTGAGCTTTGGGTCACGGGAGGACGCTAGTTTATGTCCTCCAGTGACCCTTAGGAGAACTATGGGGAAAAACACTGACCCCTCTTTAATTAAATATTAATATTTTAGTTTAAAACTTTCTACGATTTAATAATCATTCAAATATCCCCCCAGCTGCAGGTTCCTCAAGACCTGAAAATTATTTCAAGGGTTCCTCCGTGGTAAAAAAGTTCAGAAAGGCTGGTCTACCAATACATACATTCTTTGAGTGATGACCTAGACTATCTAGAGTCATCATAAATGCTTCATGAGAGACTTAAGTTATGCTATCTTTGGCTGGTTTATAGGAAGCCTGCCATTGCTGACCTCTGCTTCCTTCCTGGATGATAATCCAGTGGCTTTAGTACTTTCTGAGGCACAGACCTGGAACAAGTATGCAGTTCAGGAGCTCTGACTTTAGTGGTTATCTATGTGTTATTTGTAACCAAGTGACTCAGAAAGTATTGTAGCCACACAACTTGTGTTTTTAGATATAGATCGGCAATGGTGGCCTCCGTATTTTTCCACAGTAGAGATGCCCTGTAACCGCTTATGATAACACAATGTTTAAGAAAGCTTGAGAACAGATATTTCATTTTGGATGCTTGCCAAGGAGATATCTGGCCCTTGGCTTCTAAATACCACCCATGAATTCCATTGGTGGAACCTCAGATAGCAAAGCCAATCTAGAAAAATTCCTTCTTTATTTCTGTTCTGATAAAAAATGTAATTATTGTATTTTCCCTCAATTTCAGTCTTGGTAACACTGGTCACCAGGACAGATAGGGAGGATGAATCTCGCCATCGGGTGCACAAAGTACAATAAATACCTTGCAGAGGTTCCAACCATTCATACTCTATCCAAAGCTAACAAAAAAAGATTTGGCTTTGGACAAACTTTAACAACTGTATTATTTTTTAATCAGTGTATGTACAGAAATCTCACTTTTATTTTGCTGTAGGGTTAAACTGTGAAATTGCCATCCAGCTGTGTTATCCTGAGACCTGCCTCAACGGAGGCACTTGCGTTGAGAACCCCAACATCACTGACCCCTCATGCCTCTGCCCTGCAGGATGGCAAGGTGAGTCATATTCTGCTTTTTTTAAATTAATGTACAGTGGGTTTGTTTGTATTTTCTTTCTTCACTATGGCAAGGACTTAACATTATACAACCTTTTAAAATGCACGTGTGGCCCGAGTATGAAATTGAAGCATTCACATGTTCCGCACAATGTGGCAAGAGCCCACCCGGCAGGCTGCTTTAATTTCACCTTTCCCGCTGACTCCAATGCACTTCACCACAATGGAGAAATTTTCCCAAACCCTCACAATTTTCCCAAACACTTTAATTAAATGGAAAAAAACCTAATTTTGCTCATTTCTAATGTTTATCCCTCTGACACAAACTACTGGAGCATGCCCAACAGCAACTGGAAGAAGCAATTAGCACTATGAACACAATTAAAGACTTCTGGAAATAAAGGGATATTTAGCTGTGTTATAGTTTAACTGCTCCCTTTAAGCATAAATCTAACTGTAGCAGGCTATGTTCTCTATATCTATTCTTATTTTCAGCCAACAGGTGCAGCTTTCGGGTCCTTTTTACCACATGTTCCAGTTTCTTCTTAGCCCCATTGCTAATAAAGCTTGTTATTTACAGAGCTCAATAGCTCAAGCTTACATTTACTCACACAGGCGAATGAGTCAGAGCAGTAACTTCTCTTCCTCTCTCCCTTCCTCATGGGATTCAGTCAGAGACAGTGCATGAAAGGAAGCAATATCTGCTCTGGAAACATCCATAGTGCTTTGGGAATCCTTTGTCATGTATTAAATGTTTATTAGCAAAACAATTATTGCAGATAAATGGTTTAAATATTTAAAACAACATCTTAAAAATGAAATGCTTCAATAAAACTGACCTAAAACCCTATATAGTGTCTCTTTATTCTTATTTCTCCTATTAAGGCCCTTGATTTGTTCTCTTGTTCCCTGCAGGTCCACACTGTGAAGAGGATGTGGATGAATGTTCAGATGACCCCTGCAAGAACGGGGCAAGTTGTGTTAACATCCCTGGAGCATACAGCTGTGTCTGTGCCTTGGGGTACACCGGACATCACTGTGAATCTGCATTAGATTACTGCCTGCCAGGTGGTTTGCCAAGAAGTCCTTGTGAGAAGTTGGTCCCTGGCAACCAGTCAAATGCTGCCTACAACAGTCTCAGCTCTGCTGAAAAATGACAGTTGATCTGATTGGTTGGCATGGACCACACAAAAGCAGTACAAAAATGTATTTTCTATTTTTTAAACATCAGGCCTGGTATTGTTCTTAACACTTTATTTTCTCATTCTCTTATTAGATGATTGCCAGAATGGTGGTACGTGCCTCAGTCTGCTTGACTCGTTCACCTGCATATGTCCCTCTGCATATACAGGAAGACTGTGTGAGGAGCATGTTGACAGCTGTGCAAGTTCGCCCTGTCAAAATGGTGGATCATGCAAGAATCGTGGCGACTCCTATACCTGTGACTGTGTCAGAGGCTACGAGGGGACGGACTGTGGGGTGAACATCCAGGACTGTACCGACACGTAAGAGGACTCAGGCAGCTAGAAGCAATGGAAATTAAAGAGAGAAACCTTACCCCTGAATTACATAGGGTTGGGGTTTTTCTGTGTTTTAGTGTGTTCTCTGGTGGCATAGAAATAGATGTCTTGTTTAACCCAATCACTAAAATCTCATATAAGCTGTAGCATGATAATGGAATTTCAAAAGCTGTTGCCAATCATTTTAAATCTGCACTTCTTATTGAAATACAATCTGGTGATCCTGCCATGAAGGTCCATGTTCAGGCAATTCCTGTGATGGTTTGACAACTGTCTCCCAGTTGTGTTCCTCTGTTGTCACCCTGTCACATGCACCTCTAGTAGAGCAAACAAACAGCTGTGTAGACGCACGTTGCACAGGTGTGGTCCACCATTCACTGTCATGAAGCCAATCTAGAGCAATGGTGTGCACCCCCAAATCAGTTCTGAGCCTTGGCAGCCTCAAATCTGTTCATCATTTGTGTTCAACATCAACCTTACCAACATGCAGCTGGGGGATCAAATGTAGCAGTGTTATACTCCTACCCTGAATGTGGAAATCTCCTTATGAGGAAAGTTGCCCAATATCTATTAGACAATGAGCACATAATGTCAGATAAATGATTAGGGATATTAACCTTCCACAAGACTCACCAGGACTGACTAGTCCTGTCCATGGAGTCCTCATATTCCAGTGCAAACCACTAGAGCAAGCGGATTATTAATCCACCTTGTGAGCTCCAAGAAGTATGGGGATTTCCTGACCTTCATTCAGTCATTATATTCTTTATTTCCAAAAGAGCTAGAAAGAAATATCAAACTGGAAAAGCCCTGGTGACCTATACAGACGTCAACAAAGCATAATATACACATAAAACAGATGGGAAATATACGTTTGTTCAATATCTATTGTAAGATCTCATGTGTTAAATACAGGAGAACTGTGTGCATGAGGCCTAAGCCTTATGTTTGCAATTTTTTTGCAATACAGATGATAAAAGAGTGCAAAAGTTGTGTACCGGTATGTCTTTTGTCCCACAAGGGACAAAGGTTCTCACTGTTTGTCCAATACTGTGATACTGTGCTTTTGAGCTAAGTGAAATGAAGTGTTTACATTTCCCTGAACTTTTTGTGAAAACCAGGAGGTTTCCATGAAGCAAACTCATCATTTTGGCGAAATCCATTGGATTTGTCTAGAAAGCTGAACAAAGGTGGCTTTTTGGTGGTATTTAAGGGTGCAGTGGGCTTTAAATGGCTCCTGAGTTACAGAAGCTCCTTTCAATGATCATGGACCTGTTCTTGTTGCCAAAATAGGCATTTATTAGCCTCATCAGTAGCAGATAGTTAAAAAGAAAAGCAAAATAAAAAGAACTAATACACAAGAAAAAACACAAATACAAAGAAAACCAAACAATTAACCCAAATACCCTAAACACTATGACATCTTTCCTAGTTGGCTTGATGAGCACAATTTAGAGTTTTGATTTGGCAAAATTTTGTTGATAGCAAAATTAATTTTGGAAAATCACTCTCTTCCTCCTTAGTGTCTGTGTGACTGTGAGGGAAACTCTGTAAGCTTCTTTGAGACAGAAGCTATTCTAAATAGGTCTTCATAAAGCCTTACTTAATGTGTCAGCATTATAGAAAGTAAAAACTAGAACAATAAATCTGTAATCAATTGTCATTTTTCTCATTTTTAGTTCATGTCTAAATGGTGGCACCTGTGTGGATGGTATTGCCTCCTACTCCTGCGTGTGCCCAGATAGGTTCACAGGAAGTCAGTGCCAAGACCAGCTGACCTACTGTACTCCGGATTCCTGCAAGAATGGTGGTACCTGCCATGACGTTCCTGGTGGGTACATCTGCTCCTGTCCTGAATTGTACACAGGTGGTGCCTGTGAGGTGAGGAGAATTTATATCATCACATTAATGTCTTGGCGTCTTCTGTTTAGAATGGTTGTTGAGTTGCTAACACTCTTTCTTTGTAGTGCTGAGGTTCTTGATGCTCTTTTTTTCTGTAGTCCCTTACTGTGTTCATTTTGTATGTCCTCCTTGGGCATGTATGGGTTTTCTCTTAAAATATACTGGATATACATCTGAGTGAATTGGGACAGAGTAGATACCTACTCTGCCATGAGTGCTTTCAAGCCTGTGCTTTACAGGGTTGGATGTTGAGTTAGAGAAACAGTTCTGTAACATCTGCTACAGAAATACTGAAAGTGTTGTACAATACAATGTAACATATGTGATCCAAGCAATCTTTTGTTATGTTTGCAACTATTTTTATTTTAGGCAGATTGGGCAGCACAGTGGCCTAGTGGTTAGCACTTCTGCCTTGTAGCACCGGGGCTCCCTGGTTTAAATCCTGGCCAGGTCACTATCTGCAAGAAGTTTGCATGTTCTCCCTGCACTTGAGTGGGTTTCCTCTGGGTACTCTGGTTTCCTCCCACACTCCGAAGACATGCTGGAAGCTTAATTGGCTCCTGTCTAAGTTGGCCCTGTATGTATGTGAGATAGGGACCTTAGATTGTAAGCTAATTGAGGGCAGGGACTGATGTGAATGTGCACCTATGTAAAGCGCTGCGTAAATTGTCCACGCTATATAAATATCAGTAATAAATAAAATAAAATAAATATTAGTGCTAGGTAGAATAATAAAGTAAATGTCTGTTATAGTAAAACCACTGAGCTCCATGGCTTTACTTCTTAAAATCCCTACAGGACATCATAGACTTCTGTGCTCGTAGACCATGTCAAAATGGAGGAATATGCTCTCAAACAGGGACAAGATATCGGTGCCAATGTGCCTTCGGATGGGTTGGAAGTCACTGTGAGACCCCGCTCCTGACCTGCAAGGCAACAGCCTCCAGAGGTAACAACTGCTATCATTAAAGTGTTTAAACTTCCTGTATCAGCCACACTAATGCCAGGTTTTATTTTTCTTGTGTAGGTTAGAATAAAAAATATACATTTAACTGGCATGTCTTGCTATTTTTTTATTCAGAAAAGGCCTTTATGAAAGTTTGTGGATACCTGAACGCCTATAAGAACTTGTTGGCTATCCCATTCCAAAACCACAGCTATTAATATGGAGTTGCCCTCTCTTGTGTCTATAACAGCCTCAACTTCTGAGAAGGCTTTACACAAGAATTTGGAGTGTGTCTATGGGAATTTATGCCCATTCTGACCAAAAAAGCATTTGTGAGGAGAGGTACTGATGTTGGATGAGACCTGATTCACAATCACAATCCAATTCATCCTAAATATGTTCAGTAGGTCGGGTTCAGATCAGGGCTCTATGCAAAGAGGGAGCTAATAAGAAAGATGACCAGTCGTACTTTGCAAACACTAGTTTAGTAGATCAAAGCTTCAGCCTGACTGGTTTCTGTGGGTAGCAGCACATTTATCTTTTCATATGAGGTTTTTGTTCTCCACCTTCTACCTGTATCAGCATTAGATTGTAACATATTAGCCACCATCAAGGCAGAAACGTTTGTGTTTACAATGTATTGAATTAGTTCACTTTTATCTGTCTTCGGTTCTTCTATTTAACTGGTTCTATTTTTCTGTCCCTTTGTAGGTGTGGATCCAGAAACTCTTTGCAACAGACATGGAAATTGCGTGGATTTAGGGGCATCCTATGTATGTCGTTGTTTCCAGGGCTACTCTGGCACTCATTGCCAGGAGAAGATTGACCCATGTCTCCCAAACCCTTGTAAGAATGGTGGTCGCTGTCGGGACATTTCTGGGTCCCCCTCTTGCCAGGTGGGAGACTATAACCTTGATGTTATGAGCAAATGATTAATACAACACTCAACTATTTCATCTGCCATACTCATGGTAAAAAAAAAACACTTTATCTTTTTGCACAGTGCTTACATGGATATCATGGGGCAACCTGTGAAGAGAAAGATCCATGTCTGTCCAAGCCTTGTTACCACAATGGGGTGTGCGTGCCCAAAGGAAGCAATTATCATTGTGTGTGCCCAACAGGAACCCAAGGTAAGGGCAGTTAGAACAGCCATATTGGCCAGTTAAAGGGTCAGCCAACCAAGATGTAAAGTTTAGTTCATTATGTCTGGTGGATTTCATTCCTTTATTTGGCGACTAGAAATGGCCCCTGGTGTTAGAATATGACTAAGAGAGTTTGCACTGGCAACCAAACCCCTGGTCTTAGAGGTCCATAAAACCTGCTATTCCTAAGGGTTTTATTTTTTTTGGTGGGGGTGAAACATTTAGGGAAGTTTACTTTATTTAGTGTTCTTTTTATGCAAACATATACATGAAAAGTGCAGACCTGTTTGTATATTTAGTTATTCTTATTTCTTGAGGCCAACTTTTAGGTTTTTTTAGTGGTTTTTTTAGCAGCACAGGTGTTATAAACACTATATTATTTTTTTCTGTATTTGATTGGTGTTTGTGTTCAGTTGATTGAACTCTCTCAATGCAAGTGTAATTGTTTCTAAAAGAACGCCCACAAAAGAAATGTTGCTAAATATAAAAGACACATGATAGCTTAAATCCCACATTTTATGGACAAAAGATGTAAGAAGTGGAGGGGAAATGTACCTGGAAATCATAATTTATCTTTTCACTGCATTAGGAGCCCGCTGTGAAATTAATATAGATGACTGCGCCACAGCCGAAGCTCGGTGCTTCCATGGAGGCACGTGCATGGATGGAGTTGGGGGATTCTCGTGCCTTTGCCCGCTAGGGTATGTGGGAGACCGCTGTGAAGGGGATGTCAATGAGTGTCTGTTCAACCCTTGTGACCCACGAGGAACACATACCTGTGTGCAGCTCAGCAACAGTTTTCAATGCCAGTGCCACCCACATTACACAGGTATAGAGCATGGGCCTTTCTTCTCTTTACTACCCACTCTAATGTTCTACACTCCTTTCCTCGCCTCTGCTGTTTCTCCACTCCTTTCTCCTTCCCTGTCCTACACCCTTCTCTACTTTCCTTACATGCTCTCTCCTTTCCTCTTCTCTTCATTTCCCCAATTCTTTCCTCTCCAACCCGCTACTCTGTTCTCTCTTTTTCCCTATCCTCTTGATTTTTCCTGACCTCTTTTCTGAATTACTTCTCCTTTTAATTCTGCTGCTATTTAATCTCCTGTATTTGCCAGTGATACCTCTTATACAGTAAATGTTCCCTGCCTTCTCCTCAGGTCAGAGATGTGAGCACATCATTAATTACTGCGATAATAACTCTTGCGCTAATGGCGGAATCTGTGCACTGGCTGTTAACACCACACAGGGATTCACCTGCAGCTGCCCACCGGTAATTATCTCTAATTATTCATAATAAGTCTGAATAATCACTGTCACTACTTGTTATTATTGACGTTCATCCTCTGTAATGATATGAAATCGGTGAGTTATTTTTGTATTATGAACAATCTGCGCTCTGTGATTGGTGCTGATGAGGGAACTCAGACCGGGGTAGAATGCAGTGCTGACATACAGGGAGCACCAGCTCACATCTGTGTACCAGCCTATTAAGCCCAATAGAGATGATAATGATATTTTAGGTGTATCTATAGCCAAACCAATTTTTTGGTTTTGAATAGAGTATAAATAATGTATATCATGTATATAGAGCAATACAAATAGCAGAGGTCTGAAAGCGGAAGTAAAGGAAATTTTAAAAACATTTAAAAAATCTCCCCAAGAGCCTTTAGCCATAATGTGTTGGTATCCACAATGGTATATTGGCACATTATGGCAGACTTACCTGTCAAAGCAATTCCCTCTGTGCTCCCCGGTCTTCTTCCAGGTTTTGAGTCTTCAGCCAGTGGATTGGCCGGGCCCCGAAGGTGTAACTTCTGCACATGCGCAAAGGAGTTACTTCAAATCAGCATACCGGGTCTGTGCGCTGTGCTGCGCATGCGTGGCTCAGTGCACAGAAAAAAAATGCTGATGGGTGCAAAGAAACTTTTATGGCAGAACATACAGTCTCTTCTGCCATAGAAAGCCTGCCCCTCAGCAATATTTTGGGGGGGAGCTTTACTTCTACCTTAAGCCACACATAATATATCAATTTATTATTTAAATGAAAGAAAAAAAAATTATGAATATCAAAAATTTTAAAATAGGAAAAAAATCAAAATATTTTTAAAAAAATGCAAACAAAATTATAAATAATATCATTATACACAATATAATCTTGTAAAAATATCCTTATACATAATATAATCTTTTAAAAATATAATTATACATAATATAATCTTATAAAAATATTATTAAAAAAACTAATATTTTTTCTAAATGTTTGTCTTTTTTTTTACTTTTTTGATACTATAATTTTATTTTGCTTTAATTTTAGTATAAAATTGATATATAGTTACATTTAATTTATATGAAAACAGTGTTGCTTAAGGCCTCCCCTCTTGACGCTTTATATTTAAAAATGTGTTGCTGGGCCAAGCCAACACAGTGTGGATATTAGGAACATTATTCAATGATTTATGGAGAGGACATGGTGTTTGTGCTTTATTGAATAAAAGAGCAATAAAAACTTGACAGAGGGTCTGACCTTTCCCAATTCTATGCAAAAAAATGTAAAAAAAAGTTTAAAACTGAACTCCAGGCAAACAACAAAATACATAGAGTATGTGGAAGCTGAGTACTGTAATAATTGATGTAACTTTCTGTAAATCCAGAGTTATATAATAATGGAAGGCAAAGAGCGGGGGTGACTGATACAAAGGCAGTTCTTCAGTTTTCTCAAATCTACAGCTAACATGGTGTAGTATGAGCAGGAGCAAGTCAGACAGCACATGGAGTTCAGACACAGGTCAGCCATAGATGTCTTTCTAGGGAAATTATTGTAGCCCCAGAAAACTGGAGTTTCAATTTTTATAGTAACTTTGCAGGTTGTTGGGTGTTAATAGCACACAGTACTTCATGTACAGAAAATACAATTTTTACTGGGATTGTTATTTAATATCTCTTTTTCATGGTTTAGGATTTTTCAGGTCCCACGTGCAGTGAGGTCATACTGTCTTGCAAAACCTACACCTGCCATAACGGTGGGCTGTGTATACAAGACATGGAAGGCCTTCCTCGGTGTGTTTGCCATCGTGATTACACAGGCCCCCATTGTCAAGAGTCTGTGGGGTCCACCTTTTCTCCTCCACAGGGGCCCTGGAAGGACTGCCTCGAAGTCGAGTGCCAGAGAAAGTTCCGAAATGGAGTTTGTGACCAGCAGTGCAACAACAAGCCTTGCTTATATGACGGCTTTGACTGCAACATCACAAGAAGCTGCAAGTAAGTTTGCATTGATGGCCATTTCTGCCAAATGGATTTCTATTTTTTTTGTTATTTCTAATAGAGATGAGCTTTGAGTTTGGGTCAACCATGAGTTCGATCTGAACCCAAGCTGGTTATAGTTCATTGAACAAGCAAGTGATTTGGTCAGTTCTTCTGCCTACTAAACCTCCTTCTCTGTCAGGGGGGTACGGCTGGGCCGTGAGTGGAGCCCCTTGGCAGGGGCGGCAAGCCAAAGTCCGAGGTCGTGGTACACAGGGAAAATCCAAGAAGAATAACCAGGTCCAATCCGGGTCGAGGCAGGCAGCTAGTTTCAGTAACAGAAGGGTAAGCCAAAGGGTCGGTAATCAAGAGTCCAAGCAGAGGTTCAGGAATAAAGACAGGTTCAAGGCACAGGGAGCTGGGAGATCACACCATAGGGATAGAATAACTCAGCAATGAGCCAGGGCTCTGACTGTGCTTTTATACTCAGTGGAGGATTGAGACCACTCCCCGGCTACCGAGGCAACCAGGTAGCCTCTCCATCAGGAGCCAATGGCGAGAGAGGGGCAGAGGGTGTGTGCCACCATCTTAGCAAGCAATGATGCTCTGCTGGTAGCACAACCTCATTGGTTGCTAGGACACAGGCTGCCCCACAGCATTATTGGTCGTTATGGTGCACCCACCTTCATCCTAGCAACCTATGACGCTGTGCTGTCCCACCACTAGTATCCCAGAAACTAAGGTAAAATGTAGCCATGCAGGTCGCTGTCTCCAGAGCAGGAATAGAGGGAAAATCTTACAATGGGGACCTTTGTTCCAGTGACAACTGTCTAACAGGATTTCTTTTAATTTGGAGAGATTTTCTCTTTCTCCAATTACAAACTTTCTGTTGTCCTGGTGCCAGAAGGGTCACCCACGGAAAACAAATCTGGGTCGGTTATCAGCTCTTACCAGTTTTCCTGTCCTCTCTTTGGGTGACAACTCTACTACTCAGTGGCGTCACAAGGGGGGTTCAGGGGTTGCGGTCCGCCATTGGAGGGGTGACACCAAAATCACTGGCAGTGATTTTTGGTGTCACCCCCTCTGAAAAGTCGGGCACTCGCTCATTGACTGAGAGCCCGACAGTGTCAGGAGAGAGGAGGGGACCCGGCGGCATACCTCATCCCGCCGGGTAAATGTCCCCTCCGCTCTCTGCCAGCGTCCATCACCAAGATGGCCGCCAGCAGGCGTCAACACGATGACCGCGCGTGAGTGGCGATGTCACGTGCATGCTCGATTATGTCACGGCGGGGTGTCACCAGATTTCGGCCCTGGGTGACACCCAGCCCCTTGACACCCCTGCTACTACTCCATAGATACAGTACAGTAATTTAGCACTGTCACCCTAGAACAGGAAGAGTGTTATTGGTAGGATCACCAGAAAAAAAAAAGGGTACAAATCCTGAAAAAAAGAAAACAAATGAAACCACCATATCTAAGGTCTGTAACATTTAATATCAATTTAGATAGAAGTTGATACTCTATGTATAACCTGGACTCGGAGTCCAAGAAGATCCACGGTGACAGAGACAGCAATGTGAAGATTAACACTGGTACATTTAGTCACCACAAGGTGAAGCCCTTCAGGGCCGTGGTCACCTTACAAATATCTCAAACCACATCAGGTTCACTTCAAATGTTTCATAGTTAGGGTCAATTTTCTTTTCATACAGTCTATGTGTATTGGTGTTTAACCTCAGGAACAGGGTGTGGAGGAATACAAATAGCCTCTACCTCTTGTATGATGACAGTGACAAATGATTTTGGGAAGCAACCAATAAGTACCAGCTCAAGAAGTGTCCGGGGTCATGTTTCTCTTCCTGGATAATCATTGTTCTTCCTGTTTCCTGTATTGACACTTATTCATATACACTTCTGCCAATATGCCAATCTGGTCCCCGCTCTGTGTCTGATATCAGAGATGGGGCGTATATCAGGGCTTTCATCCAGGGTTTCATCTTTATGTATATACAGTGAAACTCATATGAGTGATGTGTTTGATTGTTGGGTGTATTGACAGGGAAGGATTTCTGATTAGCCAGCTTAGGATGTGGTCTGGGGTAACATGGCTGCCAAGGGTGGAACATAGCCATTCATATCTTGTTGCTGTCAGTAACAAAATCTCATTTATAATAAAAAGTTAGTGACTGCCACAACACAGGGAGGATTTAAGGGCCGCCAATAAAGGTCTTGGCACCATGTGACCAAACGCCGTACAGGTATTTTTCCATCAAGTACCTTTAAGTTTGTGGCTGGTTGTGGTGGCCGTAGGAGTGACACCCAAGGTAAGCTCGGAAGTGAGCACCACCACAAGCCCGATAAGACACTCTGCAGGAGCTGGGAAAAAGTTTCTGCACATAAGGCTTGATGCACACGACATAACACATGCCGTATGTTTATTACTTTGGTTTTTATTTTCTTTGTTGTTTTAGTTTTACTATTGAACATATTCTTTTCAAATGTAACAGTTGAATGCCCATTATATGTAAAATATTTATGGTTTCAAGCCAAAGTGATATTTGTGTTTGTGATCTGAATATTCTTACGAGAGAATTCTAGAGTGATTTCATGTTGTACAGGAAGTCATGTTTCCTGCTATGGGAAGTGCGGAAGTTTTGAATGTCAAGGCAGATCACTTACACTATGAAGGACTTGTGCTTCCTGGAAAATTTAGAAAACACTTATTTGCTTCTGCATTCCATATGGCTCCACCAGTCTTGTGACTGTCTGGAATGTGATAGGGACACTAAGAATATAAATAGGTGAGATATTCTGCACTGAGATACAATATCCAGTCAAGTCTGTTATCCTATTGCCCTTATGACAATTCATATTGTAGTGGTTAGCACTCCTGCTCCTGCCTTGTAACACTGGGGTCATCAGTTCAAATCCCAACCAGGGCATTACTTGCATGAAATTTGCATGTTCTCCCTGTGCTTGCTTGGCTTTCCTCCGGGTATTCTGGTTTCCTCCCACACTCCAAAAGCATGCTGGTAGGTTAATTGGCTTTTGTCTAAATTGACCTTCGTATGTGTTTTCATGCATTTAGGGTAGTGACCTTAGATAATAAGCACCTTGAGGGCAGGAAGACTTGTCTAAATTGGCCTTAGTATGCACTCATGTGAGGTAGGGACCTTAGATTGAAAGCTCCTGGAGGGCGGGGACTGAATGAATAGGATGTAAAGTGTTGTGTAAATTGTCGGCACTACATAAATATCTCTGATAAATTTTAAAATACGTTTTTTGTGCACTTAAAATAGATGTAAACAGTACCTAACTAAATAACATTTAGTGTGCTTAAAGGAGAACTATGAGGGGAGTGAAAATCACTCATTCTCATAGTTCGAGCCGACCTGTGGCATTGAAACTGTCACACGTCGGCTCAATAGATTGGGAAGTTAGCGAATACATACCGTCACTCGACCACTTCTCGATCATCTCCCTCCAGAGAGCCGTGACGATCAGTCACCGCTCCCCGCAGGGATTCTCGCCCTCCGCGCTCCGATCCTCCAGCACTGACTAGAGGAATGGATGGGGAGGGGGGCGGGTGCAGCTGGCTCTGCCTCTAGATAGGCAGAGCCCGCTGTCACTCACGCAGCTGGGGGGATCTCGACAGCATTGTCGGGATCCGTCTCGGCCGCGGCGCTCTCAGTATACCGCAAGCTGTAGCTCGCGATATACTAAGCTTTGGGTCACAGGAGGAAGCTAGTATATGTCCTCCCATGACCCTTAAGAGAAGTATGGGAAAAAACACTTACTCCATAGATCTCTTTTAAGGCACTGTGCATTATAAACAATTGCCATATAAAAAAAAAAAATACTGATTTCAACTTTTCAACAGTCGTATACCAATACTAGGTTTGAGAAGCTGTATTATAGTGAAATTAAACATTTGCACTTAAACATTTGTTATATAACAAAGGATTCCCAGAGAACTATGGATTAGATAGAGACAGTAAGCAGAAGTTGCTTGCTTTGTGGAAACCTTTCACTGACTGAAACTTCAAAATGAACTGTCTGATGAAGGTTGAGTCACTGCACTGATTGACCTCTATAAACAGTGGGCTTTTAAACAAAAATGAAAGCTTAGAATGATAGCTAGATATGCGGAAAACTTCAGCTTTAAATGATTAGCACAAAAGAAACTATTTATAATAAAGAGTGGATAGCGCTATCTGCTCTCCAACGTATAATGCAGTGTTCACGCTGCACCTGCATTTTACACGCCATTCATAAAATGCCGTAGTCTCCTTGTCACTGCAGAGGATTCCACAATAGTAGAGTGACTGGTAAGATGACTTTCACAGATGACATAACCGGACTCTCTTAATTTCTATAAATGTTATTATTTTATCCCAACGGTAGAAAATAAAGACGTTCCCTTTATGTTGAATTACTCAGAATGTAAAAACTTATCAACACAGCTTGTACTACGTCACATTCTGGGAGAACAGACTGGTAAATGGAAGCAATGACTTGCGGATAACAGGCTAATGATCTAGATAAGCACAGACAAGCTGAGTACAAATGCCATCTAGACAGTCTACAGGGAAATCCATGGAATGGACAAACTGACAGTAGTCAGATGCAGACAGACTTCTATCCAGGGCATGAGGTGATTAGGTGAGAGCTTGAAGCTGTGGTCCCACTTTAAAGTTCAATAATGAGGGCCGGTGTGCACAGCTGAGAGCTAGGCTGCAGTAGTAACATCCAGCAGACAGTAAAGGTGCCCACAGTGGCGTCACAAGGGGGGCGCTGGGGGTGCGGACCGCACCCGGGTGACACCATTGAAGAGTCGTGGACCGAACGACGACCTCCGCGATTATCGTACGATAATCGCAAGGTGTATGGGCACCTTAAAGGTTCAAGGCTGATCATTACACCATAAACACACAGATCCTGGAGGATTTTCCTTACAAGATCAACTGTTTTCCTTACGAAATCTATGGCTATTTACTGAAGAGTTTAAATTATATTTTGTTGCACGGCAGTGATAATAAGTGTACAGCGTATTCTGACTCCGATTGTTGTGATAGCGCTATATCCCTTGCTGAGACCTCTATGCCTGGCCTGTATAAGCAGATATACTCACTGCGGACAATCCTTGTCAGATAGCTGAACTCGTCAATACCGTTTCATCCAAAAGAGGTGTTTATTCTTAACATCAGGATTACAGCAGATGATAGGAACAGCAGATTGAATGGTTTCAGTATTGTGCGGTCAAAAAATGATGCCTTTCCTCGCGTACTGTGCAGAGTACATGTGTCCTTATTACATGTGGCTGTTAGCTGTGGCCATGACACAGGAAGGACTGCACTCAGGAAGAAGGGAGGGGCTTACATACAGAGGAAATGTGAGGAAAGGAATACAAGAAAAACAGGTGTGTTATCACGAAAGGCCACTAGATGGCAGCATGTGAACTTACTATATAAAACGTCCATAGAAAAATGGATAGGGAAAACACACTATACACAACATCTATCTAAATAAACTTCTATGCCCCATTGGGGCGGCACACAGAGGCCAGAGTCTTATACACTGAGTGGCCAGATTATTATCAGTACTTCGTTGGGCCACGAGATAACTCCATGAGATGACTTCGTTGGGCCGCCTGGTGACTCCACGAGATGTTGAAAGGTGATGCGAGGAATCTGACACTCCACTGTTGCCCTTCTGTTGTCTTGTACCAGTCTTGCCACTCTCCGTTCTGCCCTAACATTGACTAGTCGCTGACGGCCACAATTCGCACGTTCAGACCCAGATTTTCGGCTGACAGTCCAGTCTTTAAACACTTTAACAACAGCTGCTCTTGAACATTTAACGAATTCTGCTGTTTTGCTGATACTCGCTCCATGGCTCCAAGCGCCAACAATCATCCCACGTTCAAAGGCTGTTAAATCGCGTTGTTTACC